AAATTGAAATGTTTTATGTGACTAATAAATAACCTTCATTGAAATGTACAAACTTCAAGCTGTAAGTGAGGCTCAAAGTTGAATTTTACATGCTGTAAATCGGTGTCATTATTGCAAGGCTCTCAAATTTATGTTTACAAAATTTATTATCATTACACCATGAGGATTCAACAGTTTGACAAGAGGTATATTCATGTTGTTTAAAGTCAAGCAGTCAAGAGGCTGTTGGTAGGAGACTGTAGGTGATGCTTCAGAGTATCCTAGAAACACATCATTTCAGAAGTACCCTGTCACCTGAATGTAGCTCACAGATTTTAAGGAAGGAGAGTGTTAATATGTTTTTTATTACATCTTGTTTTCCAGTTGAATCTTATATCTATGGCAACAATTGTCTTATTTTTTTTTTATCAGAAAGTCTATATATTGTGAAGAGATGCTATAGGAATGGCTAAATTATGTTAGATATTATATTTGCAGCTAAACTTTAAACTCTAGGGTGCCGTTGTTCAAAGCGATATTAGCGCTAAGGTGATCCTAACTCCTATACCTTAACATGGAATTACGGCGTAGCACTAAGGTTGTTTTGTACAACAGCACCCAAATATATTTCATTGTGTTCATTTTACTAATGAATAACAAGAAAGTAACAAAATTTAAAATGAATATTATATTTCCTTTTTGTCTGTCACTGCCTGATTAAATGTGTTTTCATATTAGTCCAATTCTCAAGACTTCTCTGTGCACTAAATACACTGAAATAAGAGAAAGAAACAGTTTGTAGGAATGAATGTATTACTGAAAAAGATATCTAATAAATTTGACAGGGATAAGGAAAAATGGTTACAGGACAAACTATTTACAGTCAATGGGAGACAACTCTGACCTGCCCTCTGAATCCAGGTGGTAACACTGAGTTTTGACACTTAATATATATCACTGTTGTCAAAACAGGCATGTTGTTTCACATGACAACAGAGCATTGTTATCTGGTGATGGAACATTTTAAAAATGAAATTGGACCTAACCAAGGGTAAATGAACTTGTTGTAGATAAAAACAGTAAATTTGAATGTTGAACAGTAATTAACTTTGGTTAAAAATGCTGTACATTTCTTTCAAGTCACATATTATAAGGATTAGATAAATCAAATAAAACGATTTCACCATTATGCTGTCAGAAGGAAAATATTTTACATTAGTAAGGATTTGCTAGAAAAATAACGTATTCCTGTGGTATTCAATGTTGATAATATTCGAACCTCTTTCGTGAACTTTGCATACAATTGTTTTACCTATGTTATGATCCATTATCTTTTTGAGAATATTGCCCATAATAGCATGTTTTTTTTCAAACTTATGTTTGAAAAAATGTACAGCTTCCATGTATTCAAAATGAATACTTTGAAAATCATATAATGTTCAAGCCATATTTTTGTGAAAATGAAAATATGCATCATTTAAAAAAAATTAAAAATTCAGTTTAGTAACAATTACAATATCCTTAAATGTAGCCCTGCACCATGATAGTGGAATACATATATATGTATTTTAAATTTCTTTTACTAAACGACTAAGCAAGTCTAGATGAAACTAAGCCAGGTCTAGTTTCCTTGACAACAGCAGAAGGAAGGGTTCTTTGAAAAAATAAATTGCAATTATTTTGATATGTTTTCATAGTCTAAGTGTCAGTCTACCTTTAACAGAATTGCAATGTTTTCTAATTCTCTAAGTGTTTAATGTATTGAAACAATGACCCATCTCAGCAATATTATAGCACCAAAGTCTGACATTCCCAGGACACATGTGGCTGGCTCTCTGCTTATTTGGAGACACAGGGTTATTTATTTGGACAAGACCTGTATGGTTTCTTTGTGTCCCCCCGGTGTCTACAGTGCATCTGCATGTGGTACATTTGCTTAAGATGCTTTGAAAACTTGGAGAACTTCTACTGCTTGTTCAGATGCTTGGTTCAAGTGTTTGTTTATTTTAAATAATCCATGCTATTGAAAATATTATTTCAATATTAGATTTGGTGTTTATTTTACATGGCGTTGAAAATATTACTTCTCTTTCATCATTTAGATTCATTTCGTTTGAGCTTGGTTTGATTGAAGTCAATACAGTTTAGTTTGATTTGAAGCAATTGTGTTGCATTCAGTCCGATTAATATCAACTGATTTCAAATAAGATCAGTTGAAGTGGTCTGGATTTTGATAATGAGTTGTTTTGATTTTATTTGTCCAGATATTTGAGTTAGAACTCTATTTAGCCCTGGCATTGTTTTTTATGTCCAATACTTAATAGTGCATGCACATGAGTATCAACCCTTACAAGGGAATGTAGAGCCTTTCACTTTGAAATTTCGAAAGGAATTTCGGCTTGACTGCAGATCTCCAGCTATACACTACATCACTTTATGAAATAGGCCCCTTGAACCCACACTGACAAACATAAGGCCCAGCAACAGAGGATCATTTGTTGGCTATTAAATTATAGACTAAAATTTATGCCCAGATGACAATCTTAACCATTATTCAAATTCCTGACAGTTATAAAGAAACTTCTAATTGCTTTTTTTGAAGAAAGAAAATGTTTTAGTAAGAAAGCTGTCCCCATTTTTCATAGCTGACCTCTAATTTCCCTATCACATTTTAAATCTTAGATCAGCAAATATTTTTGAAACAATGGAGTTTAACATCATTTACAGCAACAAGAGTGATACTTTCAACATTATATGACCTCTTGGATGTTTCTCTTGTGTAGCAACAATTACATTTATGTTTGGAATCTTTGTTTACAGTCATCCAATTTCAAACTGTGATAATTTGCAAAGCATGAAGACATTGAGTTCACGGAAAGAAGTGGATTTTTTTTAACCTTTTCTGGCAGAACAAATGCTTATTTTGCTTTTTCAGCTTTCAAAACACTGAACCAAGCTTTCACTTAGGTTATACAGTTTTACAAAATTTATTAAAAAATATTGTAAACAATCCACAATACTTGTTTATAATTTGTCTGAAATATTTTAATCTAACATAAACATTGGCATATATATGTAACAAAAGCTTGCTATGCCTAAATAGGAGTGATAATATCTTGTAGATATATGTAAGCAAAGTAAATATTTAACAAAAATGAAATATTATGAGCTAACATTTATTGTTTAAACTGTACAGTGTTTGCAAATTTTCCAAGGCTCATCAGAAATTGTGAATTATGGTCAAAGGGGCATAACTCTTGTCAGCCCTTATCTTGCCAAGCTCACTGAGAATTTGCACCTACAATTTCCGAATCTTTTATAACGTAATTAAACTAGCAGTTTCCCTGAAACACATCAGCAGATCTTTATGTACTATTTCACATATTTAAGCATAGTTATTTTTCTTTAAACTTTTTGTTTAATTTTACTGGAAAAACAGCATTTCAATGAAATTGTTTTTTGTGGGATTTATGAACCAAAAATCTCTTTCAATTAAACCGTTGTGATGATGTCACGCTATTGTTGTTACAGTTGATTCTGTGCTGGTAATTCACTGGCCATTCTGAATGTGCACATTAAACAAGTAAAACTGTCACAACTATAGGCCATTATGCAAAATTATAGAGAAAGTATACATATCAACAATAATATAGTTTGTTGTTTTACGCCGCACTCAGCAATATTCCAGCTATATGACGGTGGTCTGTAAATAATTGAGTCTGGACCAGACAATCCAGTGATTCATATCATGAGCATCGATCCACACAATTGGTATCGATGACATGCTTCAACCAAGTCAGCGAGCCTTACCACCCAATCCCGTTAGTCGCCTCTTACAACAAGCATAGTTGCCTTTTTAAGGCAAGCATGGGTTGCTGAAGACCTATTCTACCCTGGATCTTCAAGGGTCAACAATAATATAGTTATAGTCAGAGAAATCACTATGATATGTTGATTCTGAAAGTAGAAGGGGCTCGTTACAGGAAGTGCAATGTATATACTGATAGGCATTATTAAAAACAAATACCTGTATCTTAACAGAAATTAGGAATGAGCGCTATGTATTTAGATTACCAAGGCTTACAAAATATAATGTTTTTACATAATACAAAATATTTACCATCCCAAACATGGTAATTTTTGGATAGTACAGTATTGGTTGTTTGAATGGTAATATTGACTGGGAGAGTGAGTGAGTTTGGTTTAATGCCACTTTAAAAAGTATTTCAATTACATCACAGCATGTTAGCTTGATGTTGGAGGAAATCCCAAAGTGATGCAGGGCCCCGTTCCACAAAGCGATCTTAGCGCTAAGGTGATTGTAACTCCCATTCTTTAACACTGACTTATGACAGTCGTAGCACTAAGATTGCTTTGTGGAACGGGGCCCAGGTCTTAGATGTTTATCAGTTTGGGGAGACCCATGAGCATGGGTCTGGTGCTGACAAACCTAGAAACATTATCACAACAAATCGGTGATTCAAACCCGTCTGTACTGGGAGAGAACAGCTGATTTCTTCAGTAGTGACCTGGCTGATGAAGTGTCTCATCATACCCACGTGGTGTTGATCTATGATCATGTTATCAACCACTGGTTTGAATATGTACAGATCTCTACCGACTCACCTTCTCGACCACTCACTCACTCATACAAGGATTAACGCCATCTTGGTCCAAAGTGCAGCTCATACAATCAGATGAGGTTAACCCCTGTGACCATCTATGTCAGAACTTGTCTTAAGCATCCCAAGCTTGAAAAGAAGCAACTAATGGAATCGGGTGGTCAGGCTTCCTGACTTGGTTGATGCATGTCATCATAAATATAAAACCAATTGCATAGATCGATACTCATGATGTCAATCACTGGATTGACTGGTCCAGACTCGATTATGTACCGATCATCGTCTTATATACCTGGAATATTGCTGAGTGCAGGTTAAACAATGAAAATTGAAAGATGAGACCTTTCTTCATAGTCAAAGGAATATAACTATGACAATAATGTGATGGTCGTGTTTCAGATTTTGGCCTTAGTAACACCTTTGCTAAAGATGAGCTTATGAAGACCCACTGCGGCTCACCTGAATATGCTGCCCCGGAACTCTTCAACCCCAAGGAATCCTATGGGCCAGGGATTGATATTTGGAGCATGTGAGTACAACCAATAACTTCAGAAACAATCCACTGAAAAACATACACATAGCCAAATCCTTTAAAGCAAGTGTAAGCCCTGTCTAATAAATACCGATTGATCCAAATAAGGGCATCATCTAATATTGCAAAAGGAAGGTTTTAATTCTATCTGCAGTTTGTATGAACACAAGATGAGGAAAAGATCCGTATTTGATGTACCGTATATGACCGCGTATAAGCCGAATTTTGAGGACCAGAAAAAAGATTCTGTAGAAAGGGGTCGGCTTATCCACGGGATACACTTTCATGATAGTATTTTTCAGATCGTGATCTGTCAGAAACATCGCCTGAATGACGGTCCGATAGATTACAACTTCCCGAAAGTTTGGAAGTTGCCACAACTAGAGCCATTATTGTTATAAATTATCAATAAAGTTATTATTATACACCAATGTTGTCATTATTAAAAAAAATGTTATGCATGTTACTACTTCCGATAATAAGTTTTCAATTGAATGTTCAAAGTTTATCGTTCTTCGTCAACTCCACAATCTTTACATGTAACAATATACGTAATTCACAGCTATATTATATAATCCCCAGATAAAATCGCCAATAGCTATTACGTACGTTTTGCAAAGTTCATAAATTGATAGTGAACAAGTGTCTACCTTTATTGAAAGGGGCAAATAAACAACTGTATTGGCGAGTTATTCCGTTCGCCATTTGCAAAAACATGTGATCAGCTGTTTCCTGTGACGTCACAAACGGTGACCACTGTGATTGCTTCCTGTTGTTTAAAGCAACACGGTACACAAGGAAATCAGCATTGATAATAACGGGCCGATTGCTATTGTCATGTTGTTTACACAAACATTTTCAAGTTGTGGGTGCTTAGCGATCGTGTTGGGAGTAGGGGCTTAATTCCTTTGTTTTCGAGAGATTAGTTTAATAAACTGGAAAAGCCTGTGAGTAAGTGATGGTCATTCAATGTGTTCATAGTATGATAGTTTATTTAATTCAATTGGATTAACATACAATAGTGGTGTAAAGGGGGTTATAAAAGTTGGTATATTTTTACTGACTGACATTTTCATCATGAGTTTTAAACGAAAACGCCATGCTTACGATGCTGAATTCAAACTGCGAGTTTTCGCTCCAGCTGATATATTTTCTCACGGGTTCAGAATTCTATATACACCGATTCACAAAATGGCGCTTGGTTGTTGATGGCAACTATAACGATCATTATGAGATTAAAAAAACCCACGAGAAACAGCTTCCCACATTATGTAAGTGGATGACTGGTTTGTTAAATCTTTATTAGAAATAATAATGACTTTTTCAATATAATTACAACGTTTTTCATCTTATATTTTTGAATATCTGCGAGTACCGGCACATGTCTTGCAGTCCGACTTCGCAGTGTTTTTTGTCTTTCAATTCCTGATTCGGCTTATCTGCGGGTCATATCATTTTCTTTCGTATTTCAATGGTCAAATTAACACCTCGGCTTATCTACGGGGTCGGCTTATCCGCGGTCATATACGGTACGTTTCAACACCAAAATCATATTTATTCTTAAGGTATTTCTCAAATGTTTTCAGAAACAAATTGTTTTATATACTTTTATAAGTGATATTATACCACTCAACATTTGATAGGGATTCTGAGATATTTCATACTTTGATATACCTTTATAGGTGATATTATACCACTCAACATTTGATAGGGATTCTGAGATATTTCATACTTTGATATACCTTTATTAGTTATATAATACCACTGAACATTTGAGTATATTTCATGCTGTGACGTAACAAAACAACTTATTGAACTGCACATTCTTCAGTTCCATGGCAATGTTAAATACTATTCGTATGTCAACATATCAAAGCAATCGATTACATTCAGACCCTACATGGATACTCCCTATCCCTATCAACAGTTGAGGAGTATATATAAGAATCATAGTTTTTTGGGTAGGATGTTTTCGCTCACAATAAAGAAATATAATATTTAAAAAAAATGTCATTCTTGGAAGAATTTTGTTTTAAAGAATTGGTTCCTGATAGAGATACAGGCTGACTGTTGTGAGCATGTGTTCTGTGATATGCTCCAGGGGGATCATTATGTACGCCATGATGGTTGGGAAGCTCCCATTCCAAACTCCTTACACTGATGAGTATCGCCGAGTTAAGCTTCTCCAGCAGATCGAGAAAGGTCTTGGAGCGGAGCATTACAAGGAGATGGCACATTTGTCACAAGGTATGTCAACTGTGATGTTGCCTTGTCAGAGTCACCCACTGGGGCAGTAGGGTAGTCAAGTGGTTAAAGTGTTCCTCGTCATGCCGAAGGCCTGGGTTTGATTCCCCACTTGTTCATTGTGAAGTATTTTCTAGAGTTGTCCGCCATGATATTGCTGGAAGGACACAAAATGGGAGTAGGATACAGTAATGGATGATGTTTTTGTTTGTCCTGTCCACCAGTCATTTTTTATTGTTAAATATTTCTTGATTACATTTGGCACAAATATGAGACTAGTCATGCACTGGTACCTTTTGTTATTTTTGAATTTATGCTTTATACAGTTTTCATACCGCCGTCATATAGCTGGAATACTGCTGAGTGCGGCGTTAAACAACAAACCAACAACAGTTTTCATAACAACTAATTCCAATCAATGAACCAGTGGTAAACCATTTCAAGTGGTCTGCTGTTTACTTTTATGTTTTGATAAATGCTCTTGTAAGAGACGACGTATGAATTATGAGAAGAATCTAAAACCCATGTTTGAAATGATGTGCCTTGTTTCCAGATGCTCAAGATATCCTCAGCAAAATGATTGAGCCGAAGCCTGCCATCCGTCTTCCACTTATGGACATTGAAATACACCCCTGGCTCACCACCTCCTCAAAGATGCCGTTTTTCCCCTTCACTAATCTGCCTCGAGATCGCAATATGAAATCTCAGGTAATTACATTTGTGTCATTTTCCTCTTGTTGGCATTAAGCATGGTGCCTGCTTGTGCAGCATAGGTAGAATGTAGAGATATTCTGACAAAAATGCTCTTAGAACTTAGCTTAAGATGCTTATAAGGGATAAATTACCCTTGCTAAGGTCAAACTGGATTTATGGTTTCGTTGAAGACAAAACATTCAAAGGATATCTATAGATGTGTGAGAAATGACACTCTGAATCCTAGAATCCCCCTAATTATAATTCTAGGTTCGTAGGCACCACATACATTTTTCGTTGGTTTTACCTACATGGCTTCCCTCACTTCCCTCACCAAAACATAACTGAAATACTGTTCAAAGTAGCGTTAAATACACTCACTAGCTCACTACCACGACACAGTCTCTACTGTTTACTAGACTTCCAATACATATCCTCCTCAAAATATGGTCACATCTTAAACTACTACTGTTTCTACCAACTTCTTCTGTTTCAACTCCTACTACCTCTTCTCAGACCCGTAAAGATCCGGGGCAGAATAGGTCTTCAGCAAACCATGCTTGACGTAAAAAGCAACTTTGCTTGTTGTATTGGAATCAGGTGGTCAGGCTCCCTGACTTGGTTGATGCATGTCATCGTATCCCAATTGCGTGGATCGATGCTCATGATGTCAATGACTGAATTGTCCGGTCCAGACGCGATTATTTACAGACCGCCGTCATATAGCTGGAATATTGCTGAGTGCAGTGTTTTTGAACAATTCAAACAAAAAACACCTTACCTCAATTCTCCTACCACTTCTCCTTACTCTACTACTTCTCCTCCTTTTTCACTATTTCCTACCATAATGTACCTTACACATTCATCTCCTCCAACTTGTTGTTTCTTTGCTTCTACTCCCCTTTCCCCTCCTTCCATTAAATCTACTGGAACTTTGGTTATTGATACCATGACAAACTGACAACCCCATTACTGCTACTAAGACTACAACCACTACTAACACCACTACCACTACTACTACCACCACCACTACTCATCGTATTTCAATTGTGTGGATCGATGCTCATGACATCAATCACTGGATTGACAAATATATTTTTAAATATAACTTTGTACTCATGACTCACTTGTGTATATGTCAAATTGTTCTCGTCACTATATGGCTGAAATGATGCCGATGCAACGATATATTTTAACTCACTCACTCAATCACTGGATTGTCTTGTCCAGACTTTAACAAGAAACAAACAGACAAACAATTAAACCACCACTACCTCAACTGCTACTATAATGTTTAGTTTTGTTTGGAGCTACTCCAAGATGAGCATTTTTGTCAGAATCTCATGGACATCTCTGCTAGCGTAGCTATGTAACTTTCACCTACTGTAGGCTGAGACCCTGCTGACTGATCTGCATGTGCTTGTTAGCATTAGGCTGTATTATGTTATCAGCATGAAGGTTGCAAGTTTTTAGGCAGGCATCATTAGTTACTGCATCTAGTTCCTTACAATCTGCTTCAATTATAATTTATAAAGTGATTTTTTGTTTGACATGATACAAAGCCATGGAAAAAATGAAATAATTTTTTTAATGACCTAAATTTCAAGAATATGTAAATCTGTTTGAATTTGGGAAATATAAAGAGTAAAGTTAACAACGGTTAATTCATTTAAGTATATATCATCTGTGTGCAATTAAAACATTTTAAGCGAATTCATGAACAGTTTTGTTATGAAATTGCATGGTAGTCAAAACTTTCTTCACAAATGCTCACAAGAATTCTCTGTGAATGAAGTGCTCACCAAATTATCTCCCTTAGATGAAGACTTGTTCATAAATTGTCATGTAGAGTGATCTAGAAAATGTTAGAACAAAAGAGACATTTAGATAAAACAGTTTGTGTAGCTTGCACTGTTTTCTGGCTCAGGTGGTGTGTTTGTGAAATATACATGGCTAAATGTGCGTCAGCTGTATTGATAACAGTACCATAGAACCATGTGTTTGTGAAATGTACGTGTCATGTCATTGTAAACTGTGCGTGATTGAAACAGCTGATTGCTTGTGAACATGAGCTGCTTGTAGTGATGTGTTTTTCTTCTTTTAACTTTTTTTGATGGATTTTTATCTTTTTGAAATTTTTTAGATTTCTTGGCCATTTTATTCCCCCAAACCTTGCTTGGAGATGAAGTTTTATACACTCTTTGCAAACAATTTTATCATGATATTTTCAAATTTGTCATTCTTAGGACATGGTCATTTTTGCATCATGAATTGGTTTTCATTTAAATCAATTTCACACTTTTTGCATACTTCTTATTTTTTGGACTGTGTGGATAGATCAGATTGATATGGTGTGTGGATATCATAATATTTTCAGATGTACTTGTTTTTTTCTAAAATAACTTCAACAAATGAAATAGATTATGTAAAAATATTTTTAGATACATTTTATGTTAGTGTAATTATTCCTAGAATTGAGTTTGTAATGGACAGTAATTTGTAAATGTCTACTTTTATTGATATCTTTGTTTCAATCAATCTCTGTATCATGGACATAGTTAATTAATCAAGTATTTAAAAATCTCACCTGGATAATAATTACGATTTGAAAGCATGTATGGAGTAGCATGCGTAGATGTACAATGTAAGATGTTTGGACAAAATATCTTTTAAAAAATACATAGATTCAATAATAAAAATTCTTCACAATTCTTCACAGAATAGAACTCTAATCAAAAAGGCAATGATAGTATTTTTTTATAATGTTTTTTTTATTTAAAAAACTATAAACTGATAATGACAATTATTGATAATTTGATAAATGTAATCCTTAGAAATCCATGCCTTTTCCATTGAGAGACCTTTAATGTTTTAGAAAACTGGAATAGTTTCTTTTTAATTGATAATGATCAATGAGTTCAATTCAATTCATCAAGTCTCCAAAACTGACCCTCCTCATCATCTTGAATTCTGGATAAAGCTATTCAGAGAACATAGTGATGCGGTTTGTCTGACCCAATGGAAAAGGCCTGTTTTGTTAAGGATTGATTATTATTAATGGGGTGACAATCCACACAGTCGTCACACATTTTGCATGCCGTCTCTGATATTTGTACTGAACACAGCATTGTTTGCAACCTGTAATCTCAGTGCTAATTTCAGCAAATTGCTTGCACTTAATGATGTTATGAAGTTGAAACGTACTTCAAATAACCAAAACAATAATTTCTGGTCCTATTTGTACATGAATTGTGCAAATTGATGTTGTCATGGTATGCGCCCTTTATTCTGTTTGCTTTTAGTGAAGTATTTGTCATCATCATGCTAATTTTTGTCAAACATTGAAAATTTCAGCCATTTAAGATATATTGCAAATTTGTATAAATTCACAACCTGTAAATTGTTATAACATTCCTACAGCATGCTTCAGCAATAATTTTGCAGTATTTCATGCATAATTGTTTATTTTTTAGCAAATGATGATAAAATATATTGATTGAAATGAATATATTGGGAAAGAAATTATTGATTTTTGTAACATTGCCATTTGAATTCATTGATATAAAATTCATGTAATTGAAAATGTTGATAAAAGATTAACAACTGCGCCCCCTTTTGTCAGGAATCGGTAGCTAGTGTTGATGAGGAGGAGGTAACTCCGGGGTGTCTCTCATTGACTCCTGTTTTTGTATTGTTGCAGCACTCTCTCACGCTCTCTCAGATATTGAGTTCAAACCCCGCTTTTGACTAGAACACAAAAAAGTGGCCATGTCCTTTTTGTTTTCCAAAATCAGACAAATCGCTAGAAAATGCTAGCAATAGAATCCTCATCATTTGTAGAACATTTACAAACTTGTGTTTTGTTCCTTTTGTCGAGTTTAGATATACAATTTTGTGTTTTATATAGATATTAGCAATGTCATTGTTAGATGCAATGTTGTCATAGATTTGCTATAGAATGTATGACATAGATTGCTGCCGAAAAAATTGTACATGTATTTCATTGAAAGTAACGATTAACGCAGCTTTGATGTTTATCATTGGTTTTTTTCAAAAATTATACACAAAATGATAAAATACTGTTTCAGAACAAATCTGTGTCAAAGGTCGCTGATTTTCTTTGATTTCTGGAGAGTGTGAATTCTTTGTTTCTATGGAAACATATATATATTTTCCCTCACTATTACCATTGGACGTGCCTTTGACGTTTACTGTTGCATCATGGGACCAGCATGATTGAATTGACTTAATCGGAGATGTACATCTGTAGTTATATTTCTGATATGCTTTTAGGCTTATGGAATGGATAGTGTTAAAGTTGCCTTCAGATATTGTTGGAATGTTAGAAACTCTATCAAAAATCAGATTCAATTATATTTTCTATAAAAACTTGACTTTCTTTTGTTTAATGCTGAAAGTACAAGATTATACAGATTATAAATTTTACTGATTTGAAATTAAAGTCATAATGAAATTATGGGAATTTTCTGTGAAAGTTTAATTGATGTGATCTTAGATTGGATATAAATGAATCTGATTTTTGTAATGTATCATGACTGGATTTCTAGTATAGGTGGACGGAATGATCAGTGTTCGAGCTGTTTCATGTTTGGTGGGTTATCATTGTTTAAACAGGTATAGATATTCAATAGTAAAATTCTTTCATGAAGGATACATTTGAAATACTTCTTTGAATGAACAAGATATTGTGTTCATCAATATCAAGGCTTTTTGAAGTTTTCATTTTGCCAAGTTATGTCACATAAACGTAGAATATTTTAGTTTCTCTTTGGACACTGAATGCCACACTGATAGGCTAGTAGAAATACACCACCATGACATACGTCATGGCACTTAATGCTTGCGGTCAACATTTGTAACTATATTTGCACAAATGCAGTTTCAAAGCATGATTTATATTAAAGGTAGAATATATTTGAAGTAGCACAAATTTTGTTCATATGTAAAAGTTGCTAGTTATTGATTTAGAGATTGAAAGAATTTTACATTATATAAATTACTATTTTTAAGTACTTTTTCTCTCTAATGATACTTTGAATGGTTCTCATCAAATCTCTTTTTTTTAACTTCCTAAGTAAAACTGGATTGATTCGGAAAGTAAAGTTCCCAAAATGGCTATTTGAGTAAGGAAATGAAATATTTTTAGTAAAATCAATAAAATAGATATTTGCAGTCAATTGGTACTTTATCAGATATATTTGTCACCAAATAACCCCTTTTGTGACGTTTTACAAATAATTATGAAGGATATGAAAATGTGTATGTATACATTTCTAGTAAGACAATGTTGACCCCAAAAATATTTTGAAATTTTACTGGTCACCATTTTGAGATATCTGTAACTTGAGTAGCAAATTTGGGGAGCTTTCCAAATTGTTGTTAATGAATGTATGTAACATGAGGAATGATTGGCGTGTCGTAATGTCATCGTTACTGTATGTGTTGTCACGTGTTGTCAACGTCATTGTATTGTCATGTCTGAACATGATGTAAAAATGACCATGTCGTAAAAAGAAAACAAAAAGATTATCAACTTAAAATATTAATATATTTAATCAGATAATGTTTGTCATCACATTAATTTTATGAAACTAGCATTGATTACAACACATTATGTGTGATTTTATTATTATATTTTTATATATCATTGAAGGATATGAATATGATATTTTAGATAATGTTGTTTAAAATATTTTGTTCACAATGGAATTAATGACATTTTCATAGCAGTTTTTTAATGTCTTTCATTGTCTTGTATATTTCATGGATTTGTTTATTTCAGATGAGATCAACAGGGTCTTATATCACAGCATGATTTGCTTATCTCTTTCAAAATTCATATTTTTCTATGTGATGATGAATTACAAACATTTCATTAACGACAAATATTTTCTTTCAGGTTGAAGGAAATTTTGTCTTTTATGTCAATTTCTACACTTTTCATAATAACACACACATTTGTATTATTAAGGTTTGAATGGTAAGACATTTTCTATTTTAAATATTTATTTATATATGTGTTTTTATCTATGCATGTCAATAAAACTAACTGGTGATATCTTGTTAATTTCTCATAAATTTCTTTGTAGGTGATTGATGAGCTATGCTCCACACTGAATGTCAAACGAGAACAGGTGGAGAAGACTGTTCATGAGAGTCGATCCGATGAAATGTCAGCCATGTTCAATATGCTGCTTCACAGAAAACGTGTAGCACAAGGTTTGTGAGGCGAATAAGACATTTAAACATCATAATCATGTTCTTATATCAGTCGGATGGAAATGCAATTAGCCCTGGCGGATACAGCATTTACATATAATTCAATAGAACTGAAAGAGACATATTCAAACATACCTGTTAAAGTAATCATAATGACCTACCTGTAACAGTAATCATAATTGTCTACCTTAAGTATTGCCATAATTCCCTACCTGTAACAGTAATCATAATTGTCTACCTGTAACAGTAACCATAATGACCTACCTGTAACAGTAATCATAATTGTCTACCTGTAACAGTAATCATAATTGTCTACCTGTAACAGTAATCATAATGTCCTACCTGTAACAGTAATCATAATGACCTACCTGTAACAGTAATCATAATTGTCTACCTGTAACAGTTATCATAATGACCTTCTACCTGTAACAGTAATCATAATTGTCTACCTGTAACAGTAATCATAATTGTCTACCTGTAACAGTAATCATTATAGTCTACCAAAAGTGTTGCCATAATGACCCACCTGTAAGTGTTATCATAATTGTTTACCTGTGAGAGTAATCATACTGTAAAAGTATCATTATTCACTACCTCTGAGAGTAGTCCTAATTGTCTACTTGTAAGAGTAATCATAATGATCTACTACCTGTAACAGTAAACATAATTGTCTACCTGTAGGAGTAATCATAATGACATACCTGTAACAGTAAACATAATTGTTTACCTGTAACAGTAATCATAATTTTCTACCTGTAGGAGTAATTATAATGATCTACCTAAGAGATAATCCTTTCCCTTCCAGTAATATTCATACCTGCTAAGATACCAGTAACATTCATACCTCCTAAAGTACCAGTAATATTCATACCTGCTGAAGTACCAGTAATATTCATACCTCCTAAAGTACCAGTAATATTCATACCTGCTGAGATACCAGTAACATTCATACCTCCTAAAGTACCAGTAATATTCATACCTGCTGAAGTACCAGTAATATTCATACCTCCTAAAGTACCAGTAATATTCATACCTGCTGAAGTACCAGTAATATTCATACCTCCTTCAAGTACCAGTAATATTCATACCTCCTAAAGTACCAGTAATATTCATACCTGCTGAAGTACCAGTAATATTCATACCTCCTAAAGTACCAGTAATATTCATACCTGCTGAGATACCAGTAACATTCATACCTCCTAAAGTACCAGTAATATTCATACCTGCTGAAGTACCAGTAATATTCATACCTCCTAAAGTACCAGTAATATTCATACCTGCTGAAGTACCAGTAATATTCATACCTCCTAAAGTACCAGTAATATTCATACCTCCTAAAGTACCAGTAATATTCATACCTGCTGAAGTACCAGTAATATTCATACCTCCTAAAGTACCAGTAATATTCATACCTGCTGAAGTACCAGTAATATTCATACCTCCTAAAGTACCAGTAATATTCATACCTGCTGAAGTACCAGTAATATTCATACCTCCTAAAGTACCAGTAATATTCATACCTGCTGAAGTACCAGTAATATTCATACCTCCTAAAGTACCAGTAATATTCATACCTGTTGAAGTACCAGTAATATTCATACCTCCTAAAGTACCAGTAATATTCATACCTCCTAAAGTACCAGTAATATTCATACCTCCTAAAGTACCAGTAATATTCATACCTGCTGAAGTACCAGTAACATTCATACCTGCTGAAGTACCAGTAATATTCATACCTTCTAAAGTACCAGTAATATTCATACCTCCTAAAGTACCAGTAATATTCATACCTGCTAAAGTACCAGTAACATTCATACCTCCTAAAGTACCAGTAATATTCATACCTGCTGAAGTACCAGTAATATTCATACCTCCTAAAGTACCAGTAATATTCATACCTCCTAAAGTACCAGTAATATTCATACCTCCTAAAGTACCAGTAATATTCATACCTGCTAAAGTACCAGTAATATTCATACCTCCTAAAGTACCAGTAATATTCATACCTGCTGAAGTACCAGTAATATTCATACCTCCTAAAGTACCAGTAATATTCATACCTGCTGAAGTACCAGTAATATTCATACCTGCTGAAGTACCAGTAATATTCATACCTGCTAAAGTACCAGTAATATTCATACCTCCTAAAGTACCAGTAACATTCATACCTCCTAAAGTACCAGTAACATTCATACCTGCTGAAGTACCAGTAATATTCATACCTCCTAAAGTACCAGTAATATTCATACCTCCTAAAGTACCACTAAAATTCATACCTCCTAAAGTACCAGTAACATTCATACCTCCTAAAGTACCAGTAACATTCATACCTGCTGAAGTACCAGTAATATTCATACCTCCTAAAGTACCAGTAATATTCATACCTCCTAAAGTACCAGTAATATTCATATAATATGATATATATAATGTTAACCACTATGTTGCCTTTTACGCCCAATGAAATCTGTTTTGGTAGATAATTGTTGGCGTTGATGTTTTATATTAACAATGGTGTCAACATTTACCATTTCAGGTTTATTTGACGTTGATCATACACTTAAATGTGAGCCCCCTAGAAAGCCAAATCGCAAACATCGGTCCAAGTCAGCCGGGAGGTCGGATAAGGAGAAGGAGAAGGGAAAGGACAAGTCGAAAGGTGAAGGCAAGTGGGAGTACTTGCTACATCCACTGTCACGTTTATTTTCCTTGAGAATCTTCACAGTTTTATGTAGTCACGAAAGTAGTACCACTGATGGCGTTGCTGTTGTGTAGGCGACTACAGAAGTACCTAGGGGGAGTAACTGGTTCCTTGGCAGACTTGCAGGAAACCAAACCATGCTAAAATAAATATAAGGAAGAGAATTTATGGATGTCAACTTCTTTATTATGAGGAAACACAATGTTTCAGAGTGTCATCTGATGAAGGAGTAAGCACATACTCTGAAACGTTGTGTTTCCTCATAATACAAAAGTTGACATCCATAAATTCATTTCCTTATGGGTATCACTTCTAAATGCCATTTAAAGACTTAAAATAAATATGTTGTCTGGAGTAGGAATTTTCAAACTTTTGCTGGAGTAGGAATTTTCAAACTTTCGCTACTCAATCCGTATGTTCCAATAAAATCTATTGTAAATGAACACTGCAATCACCATCTTTCTAAAAATCATTAATTACCACAGCATGTGAGATTTCTGCCAGGGTAATTTCTGTAGTACCCTACATAACGACAACTTCAGCAGTTGTATCATACATTGTATTATGTCCACTATGATTGTGACATGACGTGCACATATAATTAACAGACTGCACATATTATTTAAGAAAGCAAATGAAATACACTATTGTCCAACTGCATTACGCACAGACTCTGTTGTAAAAAAAACAATGTACTTAACCTTTAATGTACTTAACCTTTAATTTTCAATGTTCTTTAAATTTACCAGTAAGGTTGTCAGATCTGTGAACCAAGTAATGAAAGAAATGCCAATCTTTTTGACACATACTACAGAATAAGGGAAGATTACCACCAGACTGCTTGTGTGTGAAACAATGTCATTCTACAGGGAATCATTGTTCCCAGTGAGATCATCCACATTTACAAATCATGGCTATAGAGTAATGCTCCTTTAGACAGAAAGAGAATGTCCCTCAAAGATCTCATGATTAAAAGGGGAGGTGAGGTGAAATGGGGTTTAACTTCGTGTCCAAGATTATTGCACTTATATAGCGACGTGCATGCTTGTACTAGTCTGGACTGATGCCGATTTATAGTGCTAGCACACTGAGATACCATGCCACAGTTTAACATGAATACCCCACTCAGACACAGTGTACTGACTCCGAGCCGACCAGTCCTTGTTTTAGCCCCTTAATGCCAAGCGCCAGACAGGGTAACAACAAGTACCATCTTTTAACGTCTATTGGTATGACGCGGCTGGGGATCGAACACCGGACCTTCCGCTCTCCAGGCGGACGCTCTACCATTAGACCAATGAGGCGGGCTTCCAGATTAATAAAAATGAATAGATAGTGTTTGAAAGTTAACAGGTTACAGACTTATCAGGTTCACTGCATCAGTTGTTCCAACATGGCATGGCCAAAAATTTACATGAATGCAGTGTGTCTTGAAAACTGAGATTTGAACAAGCCAATGCGAAAAAAAATTGCAGGTGCTTATGTCAAGGCCAACCAATTGTCTTTGAAAAAAAATATGTCAATGAGATGTCAATGAACCAATGACTATGGTATACAAACTCAGTATTTACTATTCAAATTGACTGTGATGTTTGAAGAACTGACATAAAATATTGGAGCTTAGTAATATGCTTCTTCCCTCATATGTCCTGTCGGTACTGTCGGTACTGTCGGTGTCATTATTGAGGGGTCATGCTGAAAATATCACATTTTCAACTTCCAAGAGTGCAGTTCAGTTGTATATGGAATGAACCATTTTTAACCACAGTGTATGTTACTTAATATGCATTGCTTGTGCACTGGCTAAACCACTCGTTATGTTCAGGCGTGTGTTTTGAGTAGCTTTTATCATCACCTTCAATCTTGCTCTTTTTATTGTTTTTAATAGTTGAAGTTGACACAATTTATGGATAACAACCTCTTTAATTACTGTAAAGATGACGTTTCGGTATAGATTCTTATACCGTTGTCAAGCAAGATGTTTCGGTATAGGTCCTTATACCGTTGTCAAGCAAGACGTTTCGGGATAGATTCTTATACCATTGTCAAGCAAGACCAGTTTCGGTATAGATTCTTATACCATTGTCAAGCAAGACCAGTCTTTCTTGACAACGGTATAATGATCTATACCGAAATGTAGCCTTTACAGTAATTAATGAAGTTGTTATCCATAAATTGTGTCTACTTTGTCATCCATCAACTTCTAAGTAATGCCTATCAAACAATTCACTTTTTAAAAGTTGTCCAGTTTCCAGTTTCATGAAAGCATCCAATCAGTGTGACATGGGCATAAACAACATGTTTTTCAACTGTTAATCACGTTGTCAACATGCTCAGACCTGTTGTTGGCATATGTTCATGTTTGAAACTATACAAATCCTGGTGACCCTTCAATAATGATGCTGAGTATATATTAAGAATACAAACGTAGAAGATTATGTGTGTTCGAAAAGGAAGTTGATTTTGATGGTCAATGAATTTTTAGTAATGCAACAAAATTTGGATCCAACCAAATTCACTATCTACTTTATCTTTATCATCATCATTTCATTTGTCAGTTGAATGTTGGTAAGCAAAACATTTTGATGTTGTCTTTGAATGTGTCATGTTGTCTTCACATCATTCATCTTGATGTTTTTTACGTCTCTTATTTCATTTTTCATACAGTCCCCCCATCTCTGGTTCTACCAGCAGATATAAAGTCTGACGCTCCTCCAAGTGCTTCCGGCTCTGGGGAACATGAGAACAAGATCAGCTCCTTCGACTTTCTTGCACTGTGTAGCACACCAACATGGCTCGGCCCAGAACGAAGGAGATCTCGAAGGAGGTCCAAGTCTCCAGGACCTCATTCACCAGCTTCCACAATTGTAAGAAATATTGGATTTTAAAATTTCAACTTTATTCCTGGTTGGATATGCATGATTTCAAACATATTATTTAACAAACTTTCCATTCAGGATGTGTTATTGGGATTTGCAGATTTCTTTTGAATAAAAAGAGTTAAATGAGATACAAAACATTGAGTGAGTGAGTGAGTATAGTTTTACGCTGCTTGTAGCAATATTCCAGCAATATCAGGGCAGGGGACACCAGAAATGGGCTTCACACTACAAAACATTGAAATTTGCAAATACAGGTAAGACTTACAAATGAATTTGATGAAAGGATTACAAAATGATGCATTCCCAACCACAGGAATAAAACATTCGGACTGAGAGTCAAGTTTGAAGGGTTCAAACCTCTTTAGCTGGACTCAACCAGAATGTATCTATATTCATCTCGTCATGTTAATTGGTGGATATCAAGACTGAAATCATCTCTAAATATTTGTTTGCTGGCTCAAAGTGAGATAGCAGTAGTCAGTGTTAGATTGTATGTTCGTTTAGCAGAGGAGTGAGTCAATTATGGAATTCACTTCTTACTACAGGACTCTTCACCACTTTTCCTGGAAATCTCAGGCAGAATAAGGCACCAACTATTTAATATTCATGGTGGAAATGGTGGGATTTTTGTAAGAGACAGGATATATCCGAGGCAGAATAGGGATCCACGGTTCATGGGGGAGCTGGGATTCTGGAATTTGTTTCAGACAAGGAAGAACTGTACAATTATATTTTTTCACACCCCATTTTTTTAGGCAATACAGCATGCCTAAAGGTAAAATATATTTTGGGGGGTAAAATGTTAGGACAAATTATTGTTTCCCTACTTTTCTGGAACGAATTATTTTTATCAAAATCCCAGGATCCTCCATGAATATCAAATGGAATCTACATCCCATATTCCCCTTGTTGTGAAATCTGACTAAGAAGAGGTGTGTGGTGTGTGGTGTGTGGTGTGTGGTGTGTGGTGTGTCATTATACCCTGATGACATGGACTGGTGTTCATGCTATCTACCACTGGTTCTCTGGCCAACATTATATCAATTATAGGCTGTTGTGATAGAGCTGTGTGTTTGCTTAGCAATATCACATTCACCCGTCTGACTCTTTCTGTAACCTTCAAGTTAGTCTGTCCTGGAATGAGTGAGCGAGCATGGTTCATGGCAGGGGACACCATAAATAGGCTTCACACATTTTACCCATGTGAGGAATCAAACCTGGGTCTTCGGTGTGACAAGTGAACACTTTACCACTAGGCTACCCCACCGCCCCTGTCCCAGAATGACACAATATAACTTTGAAAAAAACATTTATTTGAAAAGGATTTGTAAATGGTTTGTTATTGTTCCAGGATTATTTGGTCTGCTATTGAAATGTATTTCTATATTATTACTGAACAGTGGGGTAGCTATTTGGTTGAAGCTTCATGCTGAATGCCTGGGTTCGATTCCTTTCATGGGTACAATATGTGAAGCACATTTCTGGTGTCCCCTGCCTTGATATTGCTGGAAGATTGCTAAACGGGTGTAAAACCATACTTGCTCACTCACTATATTATTATCTGAAGGGAACAAGGTACAGAATCATTTTTTAATCTGAAAAATACAAAATCGTTTGATTAATTTGGACATTGATATTGGAAATTATAGGAAGAGGTTTATGATGCAAAATTTGCAACTGAATGATTTTACATATTACTAATCAAGATCCACTGATGTCAGTACTCAAACTGTTCATCTAAAACATATCACCCTCGATTATCAAGTGTGTATCACCATACTATTATGGTAAATACATTTCACCAATTTGTCACCACAGCATTCTGGAAAATAAAAGTCACAAAACCCTTTCAACATGTTCAAAAGAAACCTCTGCTAAAAGCAGAGTCCATTAAATAATATCACTACCTCCACTGGGCCAATCAGAATTCAGCTCGCTTGTGTTTGTTTGTTCTTTAATGCCACACTCAGCAATATGCCAGCTATATGATGGCGGTCTGTAAATAACCAAGTCTGGACCAGACAATCCGGAGATTGACATCATGAGCATCAATCCACACAATTGGGATACAATGATATGCACCAACCAGGTCACCGAGCCTGACCACCCGATCCCATTAGTTGCCTCTTACACCAAGCATAGTCGCATAGGTTGCCGAAGACCTATTCGGACCCGGATCTTCACGGGTGCTGCTTGCTTGTGAGAGTAATTTGATTGGACAGCTATTTCTAACATTGTCCTTCTAACATTGTCCAACGTGGATGAGTATCAACATGAAGCTATGGTAGCCCATGGGTCCAGGCTATTTATCAAAATAGGATGGAGATAGAATACACTGGATGAGGATGACAATGTACAGATGGGAGTCAAGTGTTGGGTCAAGTGTTAGCATGTAGTTCTGTAGTTCAGGTCCTGAAATGCTGACTTCATCCCATGTAAAACTGACCCAGAGAATATTAATAAACATCCTTTCCTGAAGACAATAAACAAATAGTAGAAACTGTAAATGCTTGTATGAATTCTTGAACATTTCGTTGCAAGATTAGGGTATGTAAACGCCATATTAAGGATGAACAAACCCTGCAAGAAAAGCTGTACACATACTGTGTTTGTTAGCATTAAGATATTTTTTAAAGAGACTCAGCATTAAAAGAATGGTGGAGTCTTTAGAAAATATATATTTGAGTTATATAATAAAAAACATAACATCATTTGTTGAACAGATATCAAGCATTTACAAGCATTTATTGTGTAATAGAAAAGTACAGTTAAACTGAATTGAACTGAAGACGACGAAATGTGGTTCGATTCAGTGTGTGCAGATGGAATACCTTGGATTAGAAACATGTGGAGATTATATAACAAGAGTGTAATAAGATTGGTTGAGACAAGATAAGATTTTATGCTTTCGAGTAGAAATTAAGGTTGATAAGGATGGATTGAAAGGATATTTGTGGGATATTATGGGTCAACAATTGGGTTTCTGGATAAACAAATAAGATAGAATATAGTTATGAAGTAGATAAACTAGATTAGATGGGAGGAAATTCCAACAGAAAAGATGAAAAGGTTGGTAGAAAGATTAAATGGAAAGGTTTGTACGGGTGAATATGCAAAAATGGATGGAAAAATATGGATGTGGATAAGGAAAGGTAGAATAGTGGAGGAGGTAGAAAATGGCTTTGTATGACACCATCTTCATAAGCCAATCACTCACATTCAGGTCCCACACTCAGAATATCCCAATCAAATGTTGAGTAGTATAGATGAGAAAGACATAATGAGATTGGAAATGGTAAAGTATGAAGAGAGTGGAAGGAAAATATGATAGCATCTCCTTCGACTTTCTTGTATTGAGATGAAGACTGAAGTTATGACAAGAGATACCAGTTGCTGCTAGGAAGTTACAGGTTTCCCCAGGGAAATCCAATGTTTAGTTAAGATATTATTACAATGTGTTTACAAAGAGCATAAAACACATTGTTGGTTTTGTTTCAACAGGGTTCCTTGAAGCGTAAAAAACCGGTAGGAGAACTTTGAATATATGATCCCGTGCTTTCACGGATAACAAATGATGCTCATGGTCCATCTATTACTTATATACTTACCTACCTACTAATATCTGCCTATGTATGTCTACATACATCCACATGTGCTTCTTGTATTGCTGAAATATTACACATTTTTCATTTCTTTCCCTGTATAAGATCCCTCAAATGTTGTTTTGATGTTTTAATAGTTTGGAGAAAAGAAGAGTTGTATTTTTTCAGCAATACATATGCCACAAGGCCTTTTATTTATTTGTGTTATTTATTATTTGTCTATAATAATAGTTTTACAAGAAACAGATTTTGATGTTCGATCAGAAATCTTTTTATTAAAAGACAAAATGTGGTTAGTTTTACAGCTTCATAATTTTATGATGGTAAATCTTATGAATGAATGACAATGCATGAATTTATATAATATATGTCGAGGATATTATTTTCCATATATCGCATACATTTATGTATAAGTATTTATATAAAATGTACAAAGTAATAGCAGTATTAGGAAAAAAGATGGTATGAGCATTATTTGCCCATGTGAAACACGCTGATAAGCTTGCTGTATATATATATATATATACCTACTTATGTACATATATCATACTCAGTATTGCATTGTGGTTGGTACAAATTGTTCGCAATTAAAAGAAGGGGGCTGACAGTTTGTTCGAGGAAATAATATGTCTAGCCTATCAAACCCTATGAAATGAGGGTGAGAAGTTAGTTTTTTTGTGCAAAGTACTATAAAGTTTGTATACAAGAATATAGACAATAAGTATTTAATACACAACAGAATGAAAAAGAAACAAGAAAAAATATATTTGTTTTCTTATTTAAAGTGTTTATACTCACCATGCATTTTAAGTAAAATTTCACAGCTTATTATGGTTTGCATTTTATATCATTTTTCAAAATTGTCACCATCATAATTTCCTTATGGCTTTGATGTTTATTTTGTCAAAGCAGAATTATTTGCAATTTGATTAAGATATTTACTTAAAAATTTCTTTCAAAACGAAGCCACCAGTTTGTACTAGTAATGTGTTCAATGTATTGTTGTTTTCAGTTTCACAGTATTGTCAATGAATCCTCCTGAAATTGTGTCATGGACAAATTTATGTCGCACATCAAAATTCTATGTGTTCTGGCTATATTCAGAAGAAGTATTAAATTTGAACTCAAACACAATTTCACCAGATAATGTATTATTGTTTGATGTTGTAAATGTACAAAAAATGCAATTTTTCAACCCAATTAACAACTAATCATGTCAAATTATTGGACTATATTTAGCTCACCAAGTGAGTCTTTGCAATTACCTCTCCATCCTCTGTCTTGTCACCATCAACAGCTACTCTGGCAGCTGGAATGAATGTAACTTCAGATAGATGTTTGTTATCATGAAAAGTTTAATCGTAAATTCTTTGGCTGATATTTGTCAATTCATGTCAAAACGTACTCAATTTTGTTTTGCTATGTATTTAGAATGCTGATCTTGAATACACTTGAATACGATATGCTACTAGTTTCAAACACAAGTAATGTTGACGATTGTGAGATTCAGATTTTGTCAATTTGTAGGTTGTTGTGTGAAAACTAAATTGTCAGTTTAAAAAATACTTTTGAATTATTTACCTATCATTATTGACTGTTATCCAATGTTTTGGTTTTGAAATTACCTTGATCATATTGATAATTTACCTAGTAAAATGAAACATATACATCTGTAAGCTGCTATTTAAGATAATGGCATGTGTACAAAATATGTTTGCATGGATCATCCCTTTGAAACACAAGGAAAGATAAGTAGATATAATCATTTCATTTAGTAATTCTTGTGTTGTTCAAATGTAGCTGTGTTAGTTACTTAGCATATTAAATGTCTGATTTTTGCACATTATTTATCTTACACAGTATAAAACATTTTGAAAATGATATTTTCTTGCCATATGTGATAAGGAGCCCATACATATGTTTTTAACGTATGAACAACACTTAGGAGAACCTTCAGTGAAAGCAACAACCTTCAGTGGAAAAATGTCTTTATGATAACTATGCTGGACTCAACATGGTAAAGCACACATCACAATTTGATAAGATATTCATATACATCATTTCTGACTATTTATCTTGAAAACAGTGTGAAATACTCAGCACAAGTTGACTTTGCGGATTCTGCAGAGAATTTCGTAGAACTCATCAAAATCAGGACCATCAAACTTTGTTTTAGTTATTTGAATTGAGTTGTGATTTTTGTGTCTCTTAGACATTATCAGCAGAGAGAAAAATCACTGATTTAGAATTATCCATGGAACAAATGAGTGTATGGAGCCATGATTGATATAAATGCTAAAATGGGGTTCAGATGATAGACAGACACATGCCCAGTATGCTACATTGCTCACACTAAGATGATTGCCACTAGACAAGGTTAAAACCTGGACCAGAAATACAGAAATGTGTTTAAATCCTAGATATACTACACACTGTGTACTGAAAATATGACCTTTACATGTCCTTGAAAAATACTGCTCAACAAGGTAAGTTATTGTACAGCACTAAATAGAAACATGTAATTGTTTAGATGTTGTATGTGTGTAAATGTGTTGTCAGCTCTCAGCATTTCAGATTGCTTTAAAACCTAATTTTCATTTCAGGAATCAGAAAAGCATGGTGAAACATTGACAGTTCCAGGGGCCCAACCCAAAGTGGAAATCAATGAGGGAGCCAAAGTTGAATCGGATAATACTGGTAGTGGGAATTTATTGTCTCCAAATTCTGCATATAAGACTCAAACAACCACCACAACAACAAACTCAGTGCCTCCTGGTAGGACACATAGCTTACACAGAGGGGGCTCGTTGCGTTTGTCCAAAAAGCGGGCCCGATCTTGTGGACCTGCAGGGAAAGGAAAAGGACCTTTGCAAAAATCAAATTCTCTGGATGTTCCAGATACAACAGTGGAAGTTACTCCAGTTCTGCTGGAAACTCCTAAACCATCAGCCATTCCACGGCCAGCCAAGCTCGTCCTCCGTGACTGCTATACAGCTGCCACCCCTGTGAAAATTAAGGGGGCAGCAGCGATTGCAGGAACCAACGGACCTGTGACAAGTGTAGAAGTGCATTTCTCGGACAGTTCAAACCCTTGCTCATCTATAGACTTGTTAAAGAGTTCTGAGAATTCCAGTACCCAGGTTCTCAGCAGATTGGAAGTTCCAGGAGCGGAGTTGAACCTGTGTAAGAACCTTCGGTTGCCTCCGATAGAGGCAGCCATCTCTGAGCCCAGTGCTTCAGCATGTGCTCTTAATGATATAGTAAGGCCAAAAGATAGAACTGGATCCAACTCAAATCAGCTACACGTCTTTCAAGATAAGGGACCTCCAAAACCATTGACCGTTGACAATGCTTATGAACGCCCACGCACTGAGGGTGCCAATGCTATGCAATTAGGGGAGTGTGACACGATGTCGACGAACGATGACAGCAAGTTTGATTTTGGGGGTTGTCCTTCGAGTCTGGAGAGTGGGGTGGGTGAAAGAGACTTGGAGCAGGAGCTCACGGACATGAAGCTTCTTGAGATGGAGGAATGTGATGATCGGGTTGATAGTACAGTAGAGTTGATCTCAGGAAAAAGCAATCCTTTTACAGACAATGCAGCATTGGCTGCTCTTTGTTCTCGGCCCATCTCCAGCGGCAGTTCACGACACGACAGCCCCTGCTCATCCCGACACATGGACAGTAATAGTTGTATTAATCGCAATCCTGACGAAATTGAAGTGCTTGATACTTGTGAATCTGCCCCCTGTGCTAATCGGCTTTCCAAGAGACCAGGAGGTTCGGCACGCAGCTCAATTCGCTCTCAAAAGCTCAAGACACCCACTACTCCTTCTTGGATGGTGTTTAAGACGCCCATTGCTCGTATCGAAAGCTTTCATAGTGACGATTTTGAATACTATACCTCAGAGCAGACTCCAGACAAAGGTGAAAAGGTCTCTCTCTCCTCTGTGTCCCCATCTTCTGTGAATACACCTACCGTGCCATGTTTTGCTTATAAACTTAATTTAGGCAAAAAGAAACCTCCAAAATTAAAAAATTCAAAGTCCAAGATTGAAATGATATCCACCAAAGGAATACGGAATACAGCCGATGGAGGGAAGGGGATACCCCTGCAAAATTCTAAAATGTGAGTATCAAAACAATTCTTTTAAAACTCTTAAATACTAAATTTAGCAAAAGCACTGTTTATGCCTCTGACTGCCATCTTTCATATTTACAACGGAAAGCCTTTGCATACAATACATAATACCAACAAGTTATAAAACTAATAACATATTGATATAACTTCTTGGAAGGACAATAAAGAAATCTGGAATCTGGCATCGGCAAAGGAGGGTGTGGCTGGTTCCAATCAATCCCATCTTCTACTGAAAGACCAACAGCATTTTTGTCTGTTATATGGAATACAGGCTATCAAATCATGTTGATTAAAGCATAAATATTCTACATCTTTGGATTGAAAGGAGAACAGTGACCTGTAATGCACATGCATACAGTGATCTCACGTTGGGATTCCCTGTTAGAATTGGTTCCAAGCTACTTAAACTGGTCATGAGAGGCGACCAAATGGATTGGATGATCAGAACCATGTTTTCTTGAACATATTTAAGTCTTTTTGATATTTCGTCACAAAAACTTGCAGACAAATCAACACAGTGGTAGATTCAATATTTGCTTTAAGAATAGTACAAAAAATCAAGTAGCATTCAGACTCAGCTATCAATCGTGATGGTTTTTATTGGGGATGCATTAATATTAAGTACATCTTTCACATCTGATGTTGAAAACCATTGTGCAAATCTAAGGATGGAAGTTGGCTTTGGTAATTCAGATTTTGTTATTTGCATGGAAACAAGGTTCTGACATTGTGTTTGTGTGACAACAGGTTAGAGCCAGTAATCACAGATCCATTACTCAGTTCCGGGAGTGACACAGAACACCATGATGATACAAATGACAAGCTCCTGGGCTCTGGCAAATCCAAGATCCACCCCATGGATATGGGTGAGTATCTCACTGTATCTGGCCCTGTCTGGAGACACCTTTTCTAAACAATTTGATAGGAAATAAAATATAAACCTTTCACTTTATTTTTAAGCATTTTCTAAGTAGATGCCAAATACTTTTAGTTCTAAAGAATATGGTATTGTGATTTCCAAATTGAAACAGAGGTTACCCCAGAAATTGGTACACACAGAAATAAATTGTGAAATCAGTAAATGACCAAAAAAATATATATGAATAATCAGTAAATTATATTTAAACACACAATTTTAGTTTTTCAGTTAAGAAGGCAATACACTGGGTTTAATAAGTGGCAGCAGCAGTACGCAACAGGCACAAGAGTTGATTTGATCTAAACATATTTTATTCACAATAAGTGAATGGGATTGCAATCTCATTAAAATCAGATCTAAGTTCTTGCTGCCGCTAAACAATTATCTGAGGACATCCCATTACAGGTCACGTCAGAATGACCTTTCACGAACTTTGACCGACCACTGAAATGACTAACAAGAAGTTGACATCAGCCAATTAGAAAGCAGCTTTCTTGAGCTCTACGGCACTCGTTTATACCTGGTGACTTCCATTTCAGACTACACTTGAAAAATATGTTGACACAGTTCTCGATTAAAATTTTGAAAACTGAACGAAACGAACATTCCGGAATGTCTAATATGTGATTGCGATTGTATGGCAGTGCTTCCCACCTACTCTGCAACGCCTCCTCTGTTCAAATGTTTATCCCACGAAAGTGAGAGATAGACGATAATTTTGACGGAATCAGTTGTATGGGCCGTAACTGTCGCTTGGAATACCCCGTGTTAACGTTTTCAAGGTTGCATGATTAGAAAACGTATTCCGACTGCCACTTTCATGATCTGGTAAGCGACACTTTTGTTGGTCGGATGAAAGGTCCTTCTGACGTGACCCGTAATGGGATGTCCTCAGATCTTTGTTTAGCGATAGCGAGAACTAAGATCTGATTTTTATGAGATTGATGGGGTTGGGTACAAGTTCTCCAACTTAGGATATCTTCTCCCAAAGAGCTGATAATGTTAGTGCACTCACAAATCATCAGAATTTTGTCACTGTTGAATGCCTTGAAAGAGGCCTGTGTTCGTTAATGAATCCAGAATAGTGCTGGAAGCTAACAGGAATTGGTGTTTCCAAATAGGTATCAAAACTGCACTTGGCAAGTAAATTAGGACTACGCCAGGTTGAATAAGATAACCAGCTGTTTGTTCTTGGACTTCTGGTGTTATCTGGGCCCCGTTCCACAAAGCGATCATAGGGCTAAGGTGATCATAACTTCCATACTTTAACCTAGACTTACGACAATCGTAGTGCTAAGATTGCTTGTGGAACGGGGCCCAGGTATAGAAGGATCACGTATATGAGTGAAAAAGGTCAAGAAACTGCATGTGAAAATCTAACTATCAGCATGTGAGTAACCCTAACAGAATATTTTCCATGTGTTTGTTGCTGTCTTTGTTTCCACCTCGAAAAGAAAATATGCTTGTGTCAAGGACATGCTCATGTGCAAATATTAGACAAATGCACTCTGGAAAATCAGTGTTTTTACACATTCTTGACTTTTTTCACATTTAGTATTGTAATGAGTCCAAGACATGAATAAAAATATAAGAGAACTTTCATAACAGTTTCTAAAAGTTTGCTATTTTCTTTATCATACAGATCCCTCAGGCCACAAATTGCCCTTAAATATCATACCTTGTACTTTGTTACTTTTATTATATAGATATATTAGATCTGAGATGACTATAAATAGCATGAAAATGACAGTGCTGCTCAATTCAATTACTTATTTTATTTTGACAAGAAATCTTTTTTTGATAGACATCATTTCTCAAAATACTATTTTTCAGAAGACCAAGAGTCGGAAGTATCCGGAAAGGGTTCCAAATCATCCCGAGGCATAGCGAACCAAAAAGGTCATGCTAACGCAATCACAAAACAGCCAAACCAAATACAGGTATGTGCCAGACATGAGAATGAGCATGTCTCTGATTGGTTGACATCCATGTTGCTTGATGGTCCTCTGGTCACGTGGTGATGGTGTAGTGATGAAATGTTCGTACTCATTTGATGTGTTACACACTGAAAACTTCATACATTAAGAAGCATGCACAAAAATGTGAATTATCTCAATATACAATTTGAAATTGTAAAAGATGTTTTTAAAAATAAAGATTGTAATTAACTTTTGTGATTTTTACTATGTATAGTAATAACAGAACAAATACATTGCAAACAGAGCATTGAGAAATATATTTTATGGCTCACATGAACCAAAGGTTCTTGTCAGCTTAATATCATATTATTGCATGCTGTCGATTATCTACCAAGACTTTGAAATTTATTAATATCTTTTAATATTGCTGAAATAATTCTCAGACGATTTGAAACCTTGCTCCCCAAACAGCCATTTTGAAATATATAATTCAACCATTTATTTATATATCGTTGTTCAATTGTGGGGATTTCTGAATTCTAATTTTGGCACAATTGTTGTCTTTGAACTTGACATATGACATCCTTTTTGAAACCATTAATTTAATTAAACTCAGCACTAAAGTCAGTATTTGTTCTCAAAAGCCCAATATTATTGCTGGCAGAGTTGCCATTGCAGCTATACTGAAAATGTCATTTCAGCTGATACTTAATCTTTTCTGCAGAAACATAAGGTAGTTCTTTTTATATTTTAATTTCTTTCTCTATTTATGACCAACAAAAAAAATGTAGCCAAACATCTCCACTTTTAAAACCGAGTTTATGATTCTGACAATTTTTTTATATGAATTCAATATAAATGTCATTCAAATTTCAAATACACAATCATATCTGATTTTGATAATGACTTCCATGGAAAATATGTTTTTTTTGACCAAGAGCTCCGCTATGTATTCATGAATCATTATTCAATTTAATATACCACTAAGGGGTACAGGTGGTCCAGTTGTCTAAGGCGTCTAAACTCGCTGTGTAGTTGCATTCCTTAAGCATGTCAAAAACCAATGATCATGGGTTCAAATCCCAGATTCACTCTGGTTATGATACTAGGTTTGTCAGCACCATACCCATGCTTGTGGGTTTCACCAAAGTAGCAAATGTCTAAGACCTGGATCACTTCAAGCTTTCCTCCCACTTTGTGCAGTGATATAACTGAAATACTGTTCAAAGCAGCATTAAACCAAACTCCCTCACAAATATATCCATACAGTACATTACGGTTATAACAAGCTCAAAGGGACCACTACGTTTAGTTCGTTATAGCCATGGTTGGTTATAAACATATACACAGCAAATAGTCGGGACAAAAATAGTAAGTTTGTTATATCTGTCAGTTCATTATGAGCATGTTCATTATAACTGTAGCTTACTGTACAAGAAAAATATGTCTGTTGAGTGAAACATAAAGGGTTTATTAAATATATATTTAAATTTCAATATATAACTTTTTATATATAATGTTGATTTTATAAAAACTCAGGTGAGCTACAGAACCTAAAGTTTCACATTCTCTGTCCTCGAGTTTGGAGTTATGATGCAATATCCAATTTATGATGGCATATGACCTGTAACTTGATTGCATGATGAAAGAGAAACTCTATCAATTCAACATTACAACAGAATATTTTCCAGATTTGTTTCATGAGAACATGTTGCATCCATGATAGCACTACAAACATCAAATGAGCATGTACATTTCATCTGGTTTATTTTTCAAGACAGGTTGACATTTGCTTGATTAGTCCCTCAAATGTAGTGAAGTTCTAGTAATATTGTAGTATTTCTGTAGTGGTCTGCATGTTCAGAGTTATCCTTGTTATCTCCTCTTGCTTAAAAGTGAAACTCAAAGTATCAACATTGATAAGACTTCAGAATAAACTTTACCTATCTCAGTGGTGCTGGATTTAACAGAGTATTTTTTTGTACAATAATGAATATAATTTATTCATTTATTTGTTCAATCTAATTTTTGAATTTCAGATTTTTGAATATAGAAACAGCAAAAATGAAACTTTAAATGATGAATCGAAATCAAAGTGTCATGCAACTAAACTTTGTCTTTTAAAGATATTTATTGCAGGCGTGTACCATGAAATATGAAACTAACCTTTCATTTTCTAAAATTTAATCAACTAATTAATTGCTAGTTTTTGCAGATGTGAGGCTGTTGTATGAGAACAGACGATAATGACAATATTGCATGGCATTTCATTTGTAGATGCTGAGTTGGAATGAAACATGTATAAACCTCATGCCTACTCATTTGATATAAAGCTAATTTGTCTACACCATCAAAACCCCTTGCAAAATGGTTTCTAAACTTGATAAGATTGGTCGAGCAGGTTGTGTTTGGATGTGTTTAGGATGTCAGCTGGTTGGGACACTAGGTAGCTGATGTAATCAAATGACAGACAACATCTGCATCCACTGGCAGTGTTGGTCATGTGATTGAAAATTGTTGCTTCTGTTTTGGGGTATAGTTGACACCACAAAAGTAATTGAATTCATGGCCTGCAAACTCTAGATCTTCTTACTGGCCGATCACCTTGATTATTGGTGTTATTGGTATTTCTATTTAAAAAGGTGACTTTCCTGAAGAGGTTTCTATATTAAATGTAAAAACATAATCTCCCTTCTTTAATAAGCTCCACATGCCAGCAAAGTGTGGAAATTAGCATAATTGAACTTGCCACAATTTCATGGACACCGCAATGAATATACCACAAAGGTTACCATTTCAATTATTTCTATGTATTATGTACAAAACACCAAAGATTATTTTAATATTTGATATAATCAGATACACAGAAAATGAGCTATACAATACTTTATTACCTTATGCCTGAAATGTTGAACCCATTATAATAGATTCCTTTTTACAATCTATAATTTAAATTAATAAATACAGTTATTGCCCAACACTGCTGCCTTTTCCTTTTCCTGAGCCCTGTATGTCAATGTATTGTCAGCATTATTAAGGGTACCTACCAGAGGTCGAATTTTATAAAGAAAATATAAACAAATAAGTTTCCTAAAATTAGATAAGCTGTCAGTTTCTATAATATACAGTTATTGATTAAAACAAGCCATCAGTTTCTATAATATACAGCTATGGGTTAAAACAAGCCATCAGTTTCTATAATGTACAGTTATAGGTTAAAGCAAGCCATTAGTTTCTATAATGTACAGTTATAGGTTAAAACAAGCCATCAGTTTCTATAATATACAGTTATAGGTTAAAACAAGCCATCAGTTTCTATAATATACAGGTATAGGTGAAAACAAGCAATCAGTTTCTATAATATACAGGTATAGGTTAAAACAAGCCATCAGTTTCTATAATATACAGGTATAGGTTAAAACAAGCCATCAGTTTCTATAATATACAGGTATAGGTGAAAACAAGCCATCAGTTTCTATAATATACAGATATAGGTTAAAACAAGCCATCAGTTTCTATAATATACAGGTATAGGTTAAAACAAGCCATCAGTTTCTATATATACAGTTATAGGTTAAAACAAGCCATCAGTTTCTGTAATATACAGGTATAGGTTAAAACAAGCCATCAGTTTCTATAATATACAGTTATAGGTTTAAACAAGCCATCAGTTTCTATAATATACAGTTATAGGTTAAAACAAGCCATCAGTTTCTATAATATACAGGTATAGGTTAAAACAAGCCATCAGTTTCTATAATGTACAGTTATAGGTTAAAGCAAGCCATTAGTTTCTATAATGTACAGGTATAGGTTAAAACAAGCCATCAGTTTCTATAATATACAGTTATAGGTTAAAACAAGCCATCAGTTTCTATAATATACAGGTATAGGTGAAAACAAGCAATCAGTTTCTATAATATACAGGTATAGGTTAAAACAAGCCATCAGTTTCTATAATATACAGGTATAGGTTAAAACAAGCCATCAGTTTCTATAATATACAGGTATAGGTGAAAACAAGCCATCAGTTTCTATAATATACAGATATAGGTTAAAACAAGCCATCAGTTTCTATAATATACAGGTATAGGTTAAAACAAGCCATCAGTTTCTATATATACAGTTATAGGTTAAAACAAGCCATCAGTTTCTATAATATACAGGTATAGGTTAAAACAAGCCATCAGTTTCTATAATATACAGTTATAGGTTAAAACAAGCCATCAGTTTCTATAATATACAGGTATAGGTTAAAACAAGCCATCAGTTTCTATAATAAACAGGTATAGGTTAAAACAAGCCATCAGTTTCTATAAAATACAGTTATAGATTAAAACAAGCCATCAGTTTCTATAATATACAGTTATAGGTTAAAACAAGCCATCAGTTTCTATAATGTACAGGTATAAGTTAAAACAACTGACTCAGCACCTATGCATGACACTCCCTGTGTGTTGATGGGCACATTATACATTGTGTGGAATTCCTTGCATGTCTGCTGTAGTGGAATAAGGAACAGACAAATAATGTAACATAAACACAAACATATTGTAACTTTGTCCAAATTATTAATATTTTACACTGCAGAAAGGACATCAGTTTGTTCGAAGACAATGTCCAAATGATATCGTACTAACACTTGATGCCTCTGTGATCTGTATGCTAAATGACATTATCAACATAATTAGCACCAACCACTTCACCTTAAGAGACCGGGAAGGTCATTTTTGTATTCCTTACCCATAAAGACTGACAATTTTACCCTGTTAGGGTTACATTCTATGAAAAAGACTTTCTTCTAGGTTGTCAGATTTCACATACCGTATTTGATGTAATAAGTGCCCCTCTGTAATAAGCGCCCACGGTGGTATTTGCTAATATATTGGCTAGTGAACAATCCTAATTAGCACCCCTTCTGATTGATCAATGTTCACAAGACTTATTTATTCGCGTACAATACACACTCGTGTGTTATATGCACCCTTAATTATGGGCAATTAAATTCTAGAAAAATATATCTGTCGTACATAAACATTTCAGGCTGTCAGCATAAACCACAAAATTTATCTTTCAACTGTTTTTTTCATGAAAATAATATTCAAATAAGAGCCCCCTATTTTTAATTTCGAGAGCGCCCTGGGCGCTTATTACGTCGAATACGGTAACCTTTTAAGATTAAATACATGACGCTTTTTTAAATATTACAACTTCTTTTTCTTTGAAACGATATTTCAGGTGTACTTCTTGGCAAAGAAGTGGTTCTATAACATCATTGCAAAGCAATGAAATGTTGTTACAAAGAATAAGAAGTTGTTATCCATTAACAAAGTGTCATTTATTGATGTTCTTCCAACTTCTAAATGCCTATCAAAGGACTACACCTAATAAAAATAATAGTGGAATATAAAACCTGAAATGCAGTATTGTTTTATTCTGCCAAATTTAACCATACATGTTTACAATACTTATTTGCATATGGTAGGTTAAACTACAAGGCAAGAGGTCATAGGTAAAATAATTATACAAGCATAAGTAATGCTGCACACATAAATAACATAAGATAACTTTTAAAGAACCTTCCAAAACATGTGATGTTTTTTTCTTATTTTCTTTTTATCTACCAGCCAAAATGTGTCACAAAAATATCTGTAAACCAAGAAATATATATGAATAATTTGGTATTAGATTGCTTGCCCTTATAGGTAATAGACTGGAATGAATATCTGGAAGCAGAATATGACTTCCTCACTCACTCACTCAGTGACTTCTGTGTTTGTTATATCAATGTGTCTACTTTCTGGCAGACTGTGTCAATATGTCATCACATCTGACGGCCATGCTTAACCTATGACTTTCTTTGTGTGGTGAAATTCAACTCTTGAGACAGATATTGCAATTGTTTCAAAATTTCAATATAAATGGGGTTTTTTTTAAATAAAAGTGATATCTTAAGCCATGGATGCTGCAAATAGAACCGGAAAAAAATCTATAAATTGAGCTTTAAACATATTTTCAGCTCATTTCAGGTCCTGAATGCTCCAAAGGTCATCTTATCAAAAAAATTATTTACCTTTTTACTGTATGTGAGGTCAGGCTTTTGATGTTGGCAATATAATATTTTATAATATGACATATCTTTAGGTCACAGATGTGAAAAATAACAATAGGCTGGAATGTCACTTCTAAAGCCATTATTGCATTCATGGTGTTAAACGTATATGTCTTAATGGCTGTGCTTTGTGAAGCATTTCTACAGGATATATCTGTGTTATTTATGTACAGGTTTGGTGTGCCTGTTGACCAATATTGCAATAGATAAACCCAAATAACAAATACATTGTAACTTCTTCTTGTGTTCATAAATACCGATAGCTGTAAATAAGTTCAGTGAAATATTGAAAGTGTTTAATTATAATTATCTATTGATGTTTTGTTACTTATGTTGTTAAGCAATCATTTATATCAAGAGTAGATTCCATCTATGTTCTTAAAAATGCAATAACAGTTTGGATGGACAGATAATTTAGCATCTCTCTGCACATTTTGTACTCTTTAGTATTGACACAAATATCTACTGGTTGAACTTTCCATCTTAACCCAAAACTTGAATATTTTAAGTGAGAAGTGCACATATTTCAACTCTTCAGGTGGATAAGTAATATTCGCGCATTTCTATTGCTTCAATCAAATAGATATCAGATAAAATGTAAAAAACTTTATTGAGATGACTGGATTTCATAAAACATTCATAAATAACGTTTATCATGGAATCTAAGTAAAATAATAAAATGTTTTATTTAAACTTTCTTCCTCTCTGAATCTAACAATCACTATAAACAACAGTTGATCATATTTGAAACAGTTTCTTATGTTGGGTTTCTTAAATATTCAAATTATCTCATTGTTTCAAATATCATTTATCTTGATTTCAAACTGAATGTAAAACATCAAGGCCAGAGAATAACTAGCCTCAATTATCCACAGAAACTGATACCATTGGTTGTTAAAGGCAAAATAGAAGTCAAAATTATGTGAATGGATCACTTAAAATCAGTGATGACACCAGGTGTTCACAAGAAGAATGAAATGTTTGATTTAAATTTTCTACCTCTCTGATGAACTTGATAATTGCTATAAAACAACAGTTGATCATATTCGGAACAGTGCAATATGTTATACCATGTTGGTTTATAAGTCAGGCAAATTAAGCTTTATCTCCTTTGCATTAAAAAACCTACTATTTCTTGCAGCAGTAGTACTTTTACATCCATTTGCTAACATCTTCGTAGTTTTCTTACAGTCTCAACTATTCCTGTTCGAAAGCAAGAATCTTTCTCTTACAGACTATTATTTCTGTCCTCTGCTTTTTGACACTGGGATTGGAGTTTGACTAATGAGTGTTGATTTTTGGGGTGAAAATGGATGATTTGTATTGTCGATGTACATGTTTTCATCTGAACTTTGCACATGCAATGTAATTCATGATCTAATTATTTCACATCATGTTATGCGTTTCACCATTCCTAAGCCAAATGGATTTTAAACTGATAAGGGTGAGATGACAACTAGTTATTAATATAATATACATTTTCTTTAAATGACCATCCTTTTAATACATTTTACAACAAATACAGTTGATATCAACTTAATGAAATATGAACTATTATTTGCTTATTTATTACCCTGTCCAAAGAGCTTGGTAAAATGTTAATTTATTTATTTGCACTGCAGTTTTGTCACTGAGTTTAAAAATATATTTGTCTAATTCTTAATAACCCTGAAGCGCTGCGCAGTAATATAAGTTTTGTATAGTACTAGTTTTGTTTTAGATATTGATATACGATGTTGTTAAGTCAATAGTGAAGCATGTACAACCTAATAGACGTGTTTAGATATCCACGTTTTTCTTTTATTTGCATCGCAACAGCCAAAGGCGTAGTTGTACAGCATATTTTATCAGGTAACTAATTATTGACAAAATTCTTGTTTGTATGATTGTTGTATACCCAGAATGCATCAGTGTAGATATTCCCAAATGATGTTGAAGGCCATATTTCTCCTCATCATCATTGAAATGAACATCAGGGTATGATCACAATGTCAAGATTCCATGTCATTATATGTCAAGATTCCACATCATTACATGTCAAGATTCCACATCATTACATGTCAAGATTCCACATCATTACATGTCAAGATTCCACATCATCACATGTCAAGATATCATGTCATTACATGTCAATCTGATTCATTGCTTTCATGGTCATGTCATTGCATTTATATCGTCACATGTTTTACAATCCTTCATGGAAGAGCTTAAAATGTCTTTAGAGAGTGTAGCATCTGTAATTAATGGAACTTAATACTTTGATGACACCAATTTTAGTTATTCCTTTAAATCATTCAGGATAATCTTGTGCATGAAAGTGATATGTTTGCCAAAAGGATTGCAGTTTTCATTATCATTTGTGACTGATGATGAAGTTTGGAATTTTGGCGATTTGATTTTGCATTTAACGTTTTTATATATCTTTTGTAAACCAATCACATTTTGTATATTTTGATTTGAAAAACTTGATTGAACACTCTCTTTGGATTACAAGTTCACACCAGCTGTCTCTAAGTTTCAGTCAGAAAGCAGATATTAGTGTGGTTTGTGCATTAAAAATGTGAATGCAGAATTTGTTTCTGTTAAATTCATTTTTTTCTTGCACATGTTTGAGTCTATCCCCCTCTAAGTCTGTCAGGTAATGAAAGGTCTTATAGTTCCGTGGGTATATGAATTCATTTCATATTGAAGTAACATTTTCTAAAAATTCCATCCTTATGGTTGTCTTTCTGCCTCTATAACTGAATATAATTCTTCCCTGAACCTCTTCCATATTCCTGGCATGTGGGTATATTGCAAATCAAAATGCACAGTCTAATAAGGCATGTGTTGCATGCACCTTATTAGGCGAAAATCTTTTCCCTTTTCATTTCAGAATTCTCTAGGTAGGAATTCAAAAAACTTGCCAAGCAACGACACCAAGAAAAAGATTGGTGTAAAAAATTCTCCGTGGAAAAAAAGCTTTGCCCAATTCCTGAAGAGGAAAAGACAGACCATCCGACTACCCAGTAATAATAACAACAATGACTGCTCCCCAGCCAATCAGCAACAATCAGCAAGAAACGGACATGCCCCCAACAGTCCTGTTGGGAAAACAGACCCCTCAGGGACAGAGGACAGGCGAACTTTGACCTCGTCCTCTGCCCCTGTGGGGAATAACATTGCAGGTATGTGTATGAGGTTGACAGTTCAGACTCATATAAGTTTCTGAAATCAACAGGCCTTTTCACCACTTTAACTAAGGAGGTTCAAGTGAGCTTATTTTGGGTGCATTGTCTGTCCATTGTAAAATTGTACAAATTCAACATCTCCTTTGAAACCAATAGGTCCATAATACTGGTTCCAAACGTTTGCAAGGTTTAGCCCAAAGGTGATGTACACTCTTAAAAACTGTTCACAGAATTCTGATCCTGTTTGAAAAATGGCCACCATAGCAGCCATATTGAAAATATCATTTTTGTACATTTCTCGGTCATTTCTGCATTAATCATTATGAACTTTGATCTTTGAGGAAGTACATGGTATCAAGAATAGAATATTGCCTTTTTGCACATATTGGGGTTTGAATCCTTCTACAAACTAATCACAGTGATTTAGTCTAACTGTATGTTTTTAACATTTCTTTTGAAACCTTTGGGCTTTAGAAACTGGAGTACATGATCCCAGAAAAAATAACCAATAAATTTGGCAGCACTTTTAAAAATGTAATGTACCATTACTCTGCAATCTCTATATGTATATCATTATGAAATATTCTTGCTGTGTTGTATCCAAACATCTGTAACATATTTTTCCATACTTGTTTACACTTCATAAAATGCAAATAGTCCAGAAATGTTCTACTTCCTAATCTTGTGCAGTCATATTTCAAGGCAATATTGATAGACTCCAGGAAGCTATTTGAGTCACTAACTAGACATAGGATGCATAAAATATTGGTTTTAAATGTGAAGTGTAAGATTATATATATATTTTATTGTCTTCTTATATGAAATATATGGTGTGATATATCATCCAAATCATTCCCCATCTGCTATCATCCTTGATATGCCTGTATGGCTTGCTCAGCTTGACGCTTCCGCTTTCCCTTGAGCAATATTTGTTATTATGGCCTAAGTGTAACCTTCCACCAAGCTGAATACACATGCTCTAAATGTAGCTTTTGTTACACGTAATAGTGTTTGCTGGGAATGTAACTTTGTGCTGAAATATAAATGTATGCTGGGAGTGTACAATTTTTTGCTGAAGTTGAATGTATGCTAAAGTGTCACTTTATGTATGCATAAAGTTCAGCGTTTGTGAAAATGTTTTTTTGCTGAAGTTGAGTTTTGTGTTCAATTTGTAACATTTGGTGCAGTATACGCTTTTTTTAAAATGTATGCTCAAATACACCATGCTGTTACCGCACACCCAGTGAAAAGTGTTCATTCCGTTCTTGCACAAATACTGCTAGAAACACTGGAAATATGTTAAACACTTGTATTGCACAACATGCCTGTGTATTGGAGGCCCCTTGACAATCAGCATGCCTTGTCTATTAAGAACACACTGAAGAAATGCACTTTCATCTGATCATGTGAGAAGTAAGATGATGAATGCTGTTTTGAAACGTCAAATAACAACTGAACATGATTCTCTGCAGTCTTACAGAATAAAAATGTATTAATGATAGTTATTAAATAATAACCTTTTGTTATTGCATATAGTTAGGTTTTATGAAACCAAAACTCATAATCATTTAACTTCTATTCATCACTATGGCTATGCAGATAAAAAGGTCTTAGATACTCAAAGGTAATAGCACATGATGTGCTGGGTTTGTTAAATATTCAGAAATGCAATCCTTGCACTTGTATGTTGATGACATGACTGGTTATGTGGACCATATTTCCCAGCCCCCTGACGGACAAAACCCCTATCTCTCAGCCATCTGGCAAACAAAACCCCTATTTCATAGCCACACGTTCAGCCAACTGACTTTCAAAACCGCTATCTCTCAGCCACTGACAGACAAAACCCTATCTCCCAGCCATTGACAGACAAAACCCTATCTCCCAGCCACTGACAGACAAAACCCTATCTCCCAGCCACTGACAGACAAAACCCTATCTCCCAGCCACTGACAGACAAAACCCTATCTCCCAGCCACTGACAGACAAAACCCTATCTCCAAGCCACTGACAGACAAAACCCTATCTCCCAGCCACCTGACAGACAAAACCCCTTTCTCTCAGCCACTGACAGACAAAACCCTATCTCCAAGCCACTGACAGACAAAACCCTATCTCCCAGCCACCTGACAGACAAAACCCTATCTCCAAGCCACTGACAGCCAAAACCCTATCGCTCTGCCACTGACAGACAAAACCCTTTCTCCCAGCAACCTGACAGACAAAACCCTATCTCTCAGCCACTGACAGACAAAACCCTATCTCCCAGCCACCTGACAGACAAAACCCTATCTCCCAGCAACCTGAAAAACAACAACGCTACATCACAGGCAACTGACAGACAGAACTATTTTCTTTCGCCCTGTCACCTGTTATTATAAATTATGTCACCAGAAATATTATGTCTTAACCATCTGACTGACAGACTTCTTATGCCTCAGCCACCTCACATACAAATCCCGATCTCCCAGCCTCCAGGCAGACAATCCCTACACCCAGCAATAATAATAGGCCTATTCCCCAACCTGAGAGAGAACAATCCATAAGTTTTTACTTGCAAGATGATAAAGACATCTTTTCCATTGTTAAATCCACATGATCTGTCAGCGTGACATAAGCATCATCACCCATAGCTGAAAACAATCAGGACGAGACAGGATTGCATCAATTATAGGCCTATGCGAAGCCTTCATATAGCAATATCAATACTAATCTCATCACTGGTATTGATACTGATCATGATTTCAGTGCAGCTACAGGACATGTCAGAGCTCTACCAGAATCAAGACTGAATCTGAAAGATCTAGATTTGAAATGAAGTGTAAAACGATAGTAATGCAAACAATATCATATTTGTAAGAATGTGGGTCTTCATAATGTGTTTCCAAAACTTTATCAAGCTCTGAAAATGCCAGCATCTTAAGGTATAAAATATGTTGCATATGGACCTAACATATATCAAAGACCTGGACTAAATTTTCCTGACAACTATGTTGTTGATGTCACAAAATAAATCCTGTAATTCATAATGCTTAGTGTCTGAAAATAAATATGTTTGGATTGAAACAAGCAACAACATTTGACTTGAAAAGGAGCTCCAGTGAGATGGGAGTTTCAGAACCTGTGGAAAATCTGGACTGGCTTCATTTAGTGCTTTATTACAGTAAGGGCTTCATGGAAAGGAAAATAATATGGTTCAGGGTCTGCAAGACTAAAGGCCATCTGGATGCAGTAAGCTTGCTCTGCCTTCTGAGGAGACCTGGCACGTTTTGCACCTGTGATGTGAAACGATCTTAACCTAAAAACCTCCAGGCAAATATAATTTCATCAACCTTCCAAGAAAACTTCAGACTCTTAGAACCTCAAATATATCATCTGTGAACTCCCTAGCTTTATACCTTGTCTCCCAACAGTATTGTGGAACCTGCCAAAATCCACAAATATAGTCTAAGTCTCCAAACATAATGACACCACCCCTACCCACATCAAGGCTCGCTGCTACCTCCCTGCTTCCAACCTGCTGTTCTTCTGCTTGTGTCCTGGCTGCCAGCACCATATTGTATCTTCACCTTCATCTAATTTTTCAGAATCTATTGAATTACAGTCGTCCCCTATCCCGCGCTCCCCGAGCCCCACTCCTCGGGTGTTCGACTTCACGTTGGTCACGGACTCCCCCAAAGGAAAATCGTGTCTACTCAGCTGGAGAGCATGTAGAGAATGTGGAGTCAGCGACCAGTCCTCAGAAGGGGTGAGCACTCTTGTCATGGTTGAAGCAAGCCCCTGTATACGAGGGGCATGTGATGTCCAATGGTCTTGGGTGATACAACTTGCTGTGCAGAGCTGTGTCCCTTATCTGCAAGACTGATTGTTTCCAAGACTTATCCTGATTTTGATCCTTGGGCTGTCAACCAGATCTAGACTAATTTGAGGTTTTGACATTGTTAAGTTACCATGTTGCTGTGAATTTTCAGCACATCCAAGTACTCTGGGCCACAGGTGGCCACATCATCTCAGGTGCTGTAAGTCACTATGCAGCTGGGGCAAGATCTGTGGGGCAAATTAAGAATGGACCTTGAGGATGATCTTTGGTTTCTCAACACAATAAAATTTCTATGTTTTCAGTTTACAAATCAACCTACCAGAATCAAAAGCTAACAACAAAATATAGAAAAAACATATTTTTACCATGACAGTAGAGAATGCTTGATTCTGATTGGTCAAAATCAGGTATTAACTTCCATTTGAAACCTCAAAATTTACATGAAAACATCGATCTGTCGTTAGCCTACGCATATGTGTATACCAGTGGCTAACAATAAACCATTCGAATTGCATACATGTATATAATTGTATGCTATAGTGCTCTGTTCCACATTAAAATAAGAGGTGTCTAATGTACAGTTAGACTACCTCAATTTCAAAACACAGTAGGACACCATAAATGCCCATTTGTATCTGTAAACTAATCAAATATGTAATCAATTTTGTTGTTACTTTAAAGATGATAAAATCTTGCACTGTAACCAGATTTAACATTCATTCTTATGACCTGACCCCATGTTATGCCATTAGCATTACTCCGCTGCCACAAACTAAATATGCATATCACAGGACCAGTCAGTTCTCTTGTTTGTAAGGGGCGGTTAAGTAGCCTAGTGGTTAAAGCGTTCGCTCATCATGCCGAAGACCTGGGTTCGATTCCTGACATGGGTACAATGTGTGAAGCCCATTTCTGGTGTCCCCCGCCGTGATATTGCTGGAATATTGCGAAAAGCGGTGTAAAAACAAACTCACTCACTCATTCACTCTTGTTTGTAAACAAACACTCTTCTTCTGAAATCAGGGTAAACTGGCACAATGCAAACCTTTTGGCACTTAACATATTGTTTTGGATAATTATTTAGGTCTTATCCTTCAAAGTGCCTGTATTGCTAGTCGTCGATAGGGCTTTGATGACGGCACGTGGACCCATGAAAAATGGATAAATCTGATAAATGGAAAAAGTTTTCATGTTTTAGGATAATTTCTCTGCGAATGTTTTATGAAATTATTTTATGACATATGTTTATCTAAATGTGTAGACTTTTGATAAGTGAAATGGATGAAAAACATACGCAATTTGTTGAATCAACTGTGTAAGATGTGATGATCTCACTTGCCTATGGCAGAGGTTCTGGTTTGACTGCAAGGAACTTTGGATAGGAGAATTGCACCATCCCATGTTATGCCCAAATATTTACCAAATATACAGAATCTTATTGCTAGATTATCAAATAATTGAGTGAGTGAGTGAGTTGGGTTTAACGCCGCTTTTAACAGTATTCCAGTTATATTGCGGCGTGTCAGCTTAATGTTGGAGGAAAGCCCGAAGTGATGCAGGTCTCAGACGTTTACCACTTCGGTGAAACCCACGAGCACGGGTATGGTGCTGACAAACCTAGAAACATAATCGGGGCGAACCGGGATTCGAACCCACAATCATAGGTTTCTGGCGTGTCGAAGGGACGCAACTCTGCACAGTGAATCGCGGCGCCTTAGACGACTGGGCCACCCGTGCCCCCTATAATCAAATAAAAAAGGTATGGTGTGTCATATCATGTGACACCATCTCAAGAATTATGGGTCTTTGTTTGATGGATTAACAGCAAGCAAAATAGCTTCTTTTTGGTTTTCGTCTGCAGAAGGTTAATTTGTAACAAGGATCATGGGGTAGCCTAGTGGTTAAAGTGTTTGCTCACCACACCAAAGGCCTGGGTTCGATTCCACACATTGGTACAAAGTGTGTCCCCTGCCATGATATTGCTGGAATCTTGCTAAAAGGATCTAAAAACCATACTAGCTCACTCACACGGTTATTTTTTAACAGAAATGATATGTCCGCTGAACTCCAACCTTTGAATAGAGTGAGTGAGTTTGATTTTACGCCGCTTTTAGCAATATTCCAGCAATATCATGGTGGGGGACACCAGAAATGGGCTTCACACAATGTACCCATGTCGGGAATCGAACCCGGGTCTTCGGCGTGACGAGCGAATGCTTTAACCACTGGGCTACCCGACCGCCCCCCTTTGAATAGAAGCATACATATCGCGTGGTACATTTGACCGTTTCTTGAATCTGTCCTTTTGTGTCTTCTTTCAGGAGAGTGAATGTAACATTCCCCTGGAGCAGAACGTGAACCTCTCACTAAAGACTATGCCAGAAATGAATAATATCCAGGACCCTACTCGGAATTTCACAGCCTATCAGTTTACACATTCCTGATTGCAGGAGGAGAAGTCAAGGTCATCAGCCTCAGTTTGGATGGCTTGTAGTGCAGGATGTTTGTTGGTGTTCAGTTGGTTGAATCCTGCGAAGGACAAGAGTTGTGTGCTGTTGATGTTTTGTAATAATTTTGGAGAGTTTCCATACCCAAGGTTCTGATGTTTTAAGAGTATCTGTGTGTATGGTTTGAGAAAACCATGGTGTTTTAAAGATTTCATATGTGGAATTCGGTATTATTTGGATGTGTTTGTGCCGAATAGGGCCAAATTTGATAGCGAGTCTCCCTGGCACACGATGTCATGCAACTTGTATTCTTGCCGTGAAACCGGCTTGGATGGATTTAAAGCATTCACTTGTCAATTTCAGGAAATATGTTGTTGTCAAGCAATTAACGACAACACAGCACAGTTATACATATTTGAAACCCATTATTGCATATGTACATTGCATGACAGTGGTAAATTATGTATATACTTATATATTATGTGAAATTCACTTTATTGTTAATCTTCTCATTCAAACAACTGTGATATATTGTCGTGTTTCTCATGTTATTTCTCAAGTGGAATTTTCCTATCAGTTGATATGGAAGATTTCTGTGTTACCCACAGCGTAGCAGGACATATTTCACACACTGCACCGTTTTTCAGCATGTGATTAAACAATGATAGATACATCTTGTACAGATCACCAATGCCATTCACCGTTTTGCTGGAACAAGAACCAAAATGGCAACATTAGCAAAGAAATTGCCATTAAAACCTGTTCCAGAACTTGATTACCTCCCCTTACCTGGACTCTTCTACATCGGAGGTAAACAACCTTCCAATGAAGAATTCTCAAGCAAAAGAAGTAGTTTATAGAATTGGTAGACGTTTTAAATTCAGAATAAATGCATGCATGCTAAAATGACCAATGCAAAATAACATGCAATACTTTAATCATATGAAAAAAATCATTGCAATAAGTTTGGTTTAGTATAGCATATTCAGAAATAAACGTGACTCCAGTGCAATATATTGTGTATTGACTAGAATTGTTGGCCATTTATATATATGTATATTCACATATATATATATATACTCCCATCCTGTTTCATCCTATCAGAAGCAGTGTTCGAAATAACCTACATATGTAACCATGGTTCTCATGAATTAATGATAGTCATCAAGTCATACCCAAAGGCTGGAAGACTCAAATGAACATGTGACCTAAATAAGTCATTATGGACATTGGAATTCTGTGTATGCACACAATATTGACTGAATAAAATAGAATTGACAACACCTTTTCCATAATCATAAGAAATCTCTGCTAAGAGCCCATTATACAGTGCCGTCATGTATCATCTCACAAAACAAACCATATATAAGCCACTGAAGTATCGGATTAAACAATGAATAGCTAGCTCTAAAGCACTGTATATAGTTTCTTCATAAACAGGATGACTATATGTGTATCATCTGGCATGATTCATTCACTAGCATTCATGGTTTTGAATTCTAAACTTATTGTACTCTCAATGTTACTATAGATGCATCCTCTTCAAAACGCAGGACAACAGACATGTAGCTATTTCGAACACTGCTCAAAACCACAGTTATTTGATAGCATTAAATATGTACTGGTTTCTAATTTATTTCAATGGGTGATCTCATAGTTGTATCAAATATCACATGTTTTCCCAGAAATCTTGGTACTTTTCACTTGTAAAATACTCAAAACAAACAGTTTTACTTTTTTGGGTCAATCTGATTTGAATTTCTGATTTTCAGTAGTCATTTCAGATATATTCCAATTTTGCCCTTAGCTTTAATAATTTTACCTATATTTATTCAAAACATCATAATCATCTAGAGATAACCAGGAATTGAATTGATTATATGGTCTTTTCCTCCTAACTATATGCCTTTTGAATGCCCTGAAAAAATTAGCACGTGCAGATGTTAAACAGAGTTAATTATAAATTGTGAATGAGAAATAATTGGATGACAGACATTTTGACAATGGCAAGGATATATTTTACTAAATGACCAGAAAAACATCGTCATTCACTCAGATAGCTTGTTCCTGTTCCTATAATGACGTGATCTTGTTAATTTCATTATCTTAGGATATATTTTACTAAATGACCAGAAAAACATCGTCATTCACTCAGATAACTTGTTCCTGTTCCTATAATGACGTGATCTTGTTAATTTCATTGTCTTTATGCTCCAAGTTTTACATAATATTATGTACAAGATGTGTTCATTTTTTATCTTAGGATTTCATAAACCAATGGCCTCTTCATTAAATTGCTTGTCACAGGCAACAAAGAACCAATTTCAATCCTGGTTACCTCATACAAATTAGTTTGATGCTTCTATCATTAGTGTCAATAATGTTAAAAATCCAAAGAACAGTATTATGTGTAGTGTTGATGATACCATTTGCAATGAGATTTGTTGATGTTTTTGTAGAAAATGATTATTTGAAAAAAATATGCCAAACCAATCCAGTTCACTGTTCAGAAATATGCTATTGTAAACTGCATTTGTAATATTCTATCTTAGTGAGCAAATGTATAGTGTTTTGCAACGGTTGTTGGACTCTTTGTTATCCTGAATTTGACAGTACCAATAAGCAAGTGTTATTGTCTGGTAGTGGTTATTAGAATTAATTATTAAATTAAATTGGACTCGATTCTTTCTACAAGCCACTGCCATGGTTAACTTTGCTTAAAAACAATTCCATGCCCTTACTAATCATGGTATTCTAATAACTAGTGACCTAATCTGTATATTTATATAATATTCTATATCACAATACCAAAACGCTTTTACTCCGTCTCACACAAAATATTCATTCTGTTAAATTTGTAAATTTTATATTAATCTTCTCTGCAGGATTAATTTAATGAAGAAGCTGTTTAATAATGTTAAACAGTATCATAAATATCAGTAACCATGGTTTTATTTGATATGAGGTGTAAAAACGTCAACTCAATTTTGACATCAATTATTTCAATTAAATAAAAAACGTAAACATCAAAGTATCCAGTTTTGATTATCCACCGAAATAGATTCCACAGAGATATACACGAAGCATTTGACGAGGGCATGGAATTACAGGAAATAAGCATATGATAATGCGTTTTACGACTTGTTTGTAAGTATCAAGACATGATGATATATTACGATGTTGCCTGGGAATGATCACTTGTGTTTGTAGTGGATTTGGCCTATAGATGTTCCACAGTGTGTATTTAGACATTTATTATCTTCTATGCAATATAGATTTTATTTGACTCTGAAAGTCAGGCGAGAAATGTTAGGCATATGTGATGAGAAAGGGTTAACGTTCTTCATGTCAAGGGAGATCACTCTGGGATATTTACTACCCATCATATACTACCAACTTGTGTATATGTGAAATTAAGAGTTTTTCTTCGACAAAACAGTGTTGCCATATGGGGGCTATAAACTGTGCATGATAGAGAGAATGGACATGAAGGGTGATAACTCTGATAACTAAGGGGAGGTAACTACCTTGCCATGAAAGAGAAATAACTACCTGATTTTATGTTTGTTTCGTGCTGTAAGTTGTGAGTGGTTGCACAAATACTGGTTTGTATAGAAAATAAATGTATGCAAATCATTTCTTTCACTTGGTAAACATGCTTATTCTTGTTGATTGTCATATGCAAAGTTTTCACAGAAAGCTGTTCATTTTGGTGTCGAATGTTATTTTGTAGAGTTAGTTTTCATGGATTTATTTTTGCTTTGATTGTCTATCCTGAAGTATATATTGATCTCTGAATAAATACTTGTAGCATTATTCTTCTTTCAGTAAGCATTCTCTTAATAGTGAAAGTTGTCCCTCCTCATCGTCTTGGATTGTTGAAACAGACTGAATTTAATTGTTTTGAATATGTGTACAAAAGTTTCTATGTATTTATCTTCTAGATTAAATATTTCTTCACAAATATAAATTTTTGACACCAAACTTGACACATTAATGTTCATGCCAACACATTTCCGGATAATACTTTAGATTTGGTCTCCACTAAATTGTATTGAATATTTTTGCACACTTTAAGATCTCATGGAAAAATGTTTGATTGGTAGAATGTGGTTTTCAAAATTTATAGGGGCGGTCGGGTAGCCTAGTGGTTAAAGCATTCGCTCGTCATGCCGAAGACCCGGGTTCGATTCCCGACATGGGTACAATGTGTGAAGCCCATTTCTGGTGTCCCCCGCCGTGATATTGCTGGGATATTGCTACAAGCGGCGTAAATCCATACTCAGTCAGTCAGTCAGTCAGTCAGTCAAAATTTATATGAATAATATTTAAGTATTTAATTTGTTAGTTTATGAGAGAAAGTAATTAATCCCAAATTCTCATTTTGATAAGATTTTGTGTCCAAATTGTTCTTCTACAGAGGACAATGTGAAAGATCATTTTTATATTGAACAATAATGACCATGAGTTTTTAAAATGAATGAAAATATACCTCTTGATACTATATTTTTAATACTAAATGTATATTACAGCATAACTACATTTAATTTATGTCTGTATCTTTTATTTAATGGGAATAATATCTTTCAAAATATTTCCATATTTCTAAACCTATAAACAACAGTATCATAATGATAATCATAAAAGAGTTTTAAAAATATTCTCCCTTCCAGCAGTCACAAAGGTAAAGCCATGCTTGCAACAAGAGTTGTTTGATGTTAACTTACTGTACACCCTGTACAAGTCCCTCTTACATTGAAACAGTGGTTAAAGCGTTCGCTCCTCACGTCGAAGACCCGGGTTCGAATCATGACATGGGTACAATGTGTGAAGCCCATTTCTTGTGTCCCGAGCCATGATATTGCTGGAATATTGCTAAAAGCGGCGTAAAACCATACTCACTCACTCACTAACTTACATTGAAATAGGTCTGCTTCAGCATCTGCGTCTTTTCTTTGCTTATATCCAACAATGATGAGGCCAATCCTTTTCATTTTCTTGTTCAAACAAATTTTAAAATTCCAAGAGGCAAGATAAAAAAAATAACAAAAAAATGTTGTCAGGAGAAATTTCCGTTAACAACTCATGAAAGTTTGAGAAAGATATAAAAACCAGATAAGGCATATTTTCAGTGAAATGCAGAATCTTTCTCTGTCTGTAAAATGCAAACAACTATTTACTGTTGTGGACATAAGGAAAATAAGTGTCTGTGCCCCTAGGACATGGTACCATCACATGTTATTACAATGCTTGAACTGTTCTGTTAGAATACCAGTCCTGAAACTGTTGTTTTAAACAGTACTGAAACTGTACGGTCAGCATACTGATTTTATACAGTACGGTACTTGTATTGTTTCCATACACACTAAAATAGTGATACTGTACAATAGAAGTGTACTCTTACCTTATGAAATTGTCCTTGTACTCTACTGGAATTGAACTGTTACCATAGATACTGTTACCATACTGGAACTGAACTGTTACCATCGATACTGTTACCATACTTGACTTGTTTTGGAACATACTAATGCTTCGTTATTACCATTTTGAAACGAGTACTACACTTAATCCATACTGTACTTTACAGTCATACTAAATTTTCACTGTTGCCATACTGAAACTCAATTAAGACTGGATTGTCCTCATCCTCATCCTGATGTCACTAGTGGTGCACAACTATCATAATACTCATCTACCCTGTCACAAGTCCATAAACATTCCATAGTATTGTTTTTCTGAAGCCATATGTTTTCAAAATATTTGCATTAAGTTTTTTTTTGTGATCCACTCAAAACAATATTTACTCAGATAATCTGATCTCTAATCAATAGTCCTAAGCAGATAATTGTATGTTACATCTAATAGTTTTGAGACAAAGAACTATGATGTAAAGCCAATACCAAGAAAAAGCTTGGCAGAGAGAATCAACATTCTCACATTGTAAAGTTATCATCCAAGGTCTTCGTTCCTCAACCTTTTCATTACTGGATGAGGGGCAGTCTGGTAGCCTGGTGGTTAAAGCGTTCACTTTACACGCCGAAGACCCGGGTTCGATTCCCAACATGGGTACAATGTGTGAAGCCCATTTCTGGTGTCCCCCGCCGTGATATTGCTGGAATATTGCTAAAAGCGGCATAAAACCATACTCACTTACTCATTACTGGATGTAAACAGTAATCACAAAACCTGATCTTTCCAACATCTAGCTATGGACATAACCTGACTAAACAAGGTTCAGTAGCTCACTGTAATGTTTTTGTTTCTTGTTGGCATTGTTTATTACCCGTTAAGATTCTTAACCTCTTAGCCTCATACCCTCAGGTGAAGTTTGTTTGTTTGGGTTTTTTAATGTTTGTTTTGTTGACAACCCAAGACTGTTATAGCTAGTTACTTGTTCTTGTCATCAATATTCTTTTACTAAAATCATGTTCTTGCCAGAAAGAAATATTCTAGATCATATGTATATTTTTTGGTTAATGAGTAAGATATTTGATAAAATATCTTCATTTAATTTTTTTTATCAAACAGATATTTTCTAATGTGTCTTTTGACCTTTTCCATTTTGAATTGAATCTGGTAACTAAAAGATTCCGTATTAATAGGTGGTCACTTCCAGATGAAGACACAGTTTCAGTATGTACAGTTTTACCATAGAAAATCAACACAATTTATTCCAATATGACATTGGCCTATACCTAATTCAAGATTTTTAGTAATGAAGAATAATGCTCGAACACTGAATTCTAAAAATTGTCAAATTTTGTTCAGAAAACATGTTACCTATGTGTTATACGTTTGCTACCACAGGAAAGTATGTATACGCTTATCCATGAAATTGCTGATATGATAATGACCAATGCTTGAAATCAAAATTAATGTGATTACTGTTGTTTTTTCCTTCATTAGTCATTCCTTTAGTCCATTCTTTCCAAATCCCAAAACATTCTTGTATATTATAAACCTACCAAATATTCAAGGCATTTATACAGCTGTTCTTGGAATAAAACCATTTTTTCTGCCAATCATCAATGCAAATGATTTATGAAAATGTATATTTTCAAACACTTGTGCAACTTTGTTTCATGAAGCGGTCTGTGTATTTTTTTCAGATGTATTGTGAATAGAGAAATAATTTCAAGTGTTACTATTTGTGAATTTGTTATTATTTTTAACGCAACTAGGTTATACACTATCCATGGTTTGGGCTAACATGTCAAAAGACATGAAGCTGTGTAGGGATATATACTATATTTTTGTTGTATAAGTCATATAAATATAAGTCAATATGGTTCTGTTAAGTTTTCTTCATAATAGCTTTATACATGAAACTAACTGATGCTCAGAGATTGTTCATGTCAGTGATATTAACAAAGATGTTAGTTTGTGATATAACATGTGATTTCGACCATACTCAAGTCATGCTTAAATAATATCAATTATGGTAACTTCACATCTATTTATTAATATCAGTTATGATTATGATGCATATTTTATAATCTGAGTGGACCACAATTATTCATCCTTCGGGTTTATTAAAGTGACTGGTTCAAGATGTGTTTATTCTCTCAATTTTATTTATGTTTGACCTTAGTGTTAGACATCGAATCACTCCTGTGATACAGTGATCATTTGTCGTCAGTTACTTGATTAATTTCCAATTATTTCTAGGGATCTGATTGACAGGTCTTGTTGATGTCGAATGTTGAAAGATTCAAATCAGTCTGTTTTCCGTCTTTCATGAAACACATTTCCAAACTACAGACACAATGCTCTTAGCTAGGAAAAAACACTATGTATCAACATACTTTGTATATTGATGTAACCTTTTTGATACAGACGAGTGTATTTATCGAAATAATCATCGTTAATATCGACAGGTAGATCTGTAACAAATTGTGAATGGTGCGCCTTTGTTCACCATGCTTGTTCTTCTTATCATTTTGCAAATGTGCTTCGAATGTTGACTGCTTTGAACCCTATCACTGTATATAATTAATCATGTCACAATCAAGTTGTTATTTCACACACGTCAATCATCAGCTGGTACTGAGGTATGGAATGACCATGTATTAACATTGATTAAGTCTACAGTGTATTTCATGTCAATTTCACAATATGCCAGTCAATATGCTAATCTATTTCACGTCTACCGGTAGTCAAAATTTGTTTTCTTTTTTAAGTACCATTTTTGGAAAATATTTGCTTGAATTGATTTTGATTAAAATTTGTGGAAAAGGCGTGAAATATATTTGAGATGTGTATTTTGAGATGACATCACCAGCAGAATAATGTACAGTTTCATGGGAGATTTTGTTCCTCTCCTGAAATATTTTAACATTTCTGACTGGATATTATTTACTATGTTTAATAGTCAGTATCATTTTCATAATTTGCTTTTAGGAAATTATTCCTATTTTCATTGCATTCTTACATTATAATTATGATGCAGCATTCTCAGAAAACGAAGTCCATTTGTGTCATTAATTAAATATCCTTCATATTTAAAAAGTGACAGCCATTTTTGTTCTAGTTATCATAATTATCGAAAGCTCAGCCAAGCTTTCAAATACAACCATACACTATCACCTTGCCATAGTTTCCATGGTAACCTATATTCTCCAACAAGATCTTCAGCAAAAGGGATTGAACCTCATCATTAGATATCATATACTTGTATATTCCAGGAGAAAAAAATGAATTAACCCTTTGTCAGCTGTGTGAAAGGCAACTTAATTGTGTTAGGTACTGTAATATTTTCCTTACTGCACCATATATTAGCAAATATTTCATTCAACACAAAGTAGCAACATATTGAGATGTAATATCATTTTTTTACACGAGATCGGCGTTAAGCACAGTGATATATGACTATATGAAATGCACATTCACTGTTCAGACTTTGATCCAGATGGGTTTGAGATCTATGCTGTCTTGCATTCCAACACATGAAATCGGACATGCGATTCATAGGGTGTGGTTATTTTTGTTGTCCGTTAACCCATTCTCTGCTAACCGATGTCACAATTTTGCCTTTGCACATGCAGTAGATTTAAGAACCAGCTGTAAGAATCCATCTCTGATTAAATCCACATAAATTTGCAGTATTAGATGAAGATGTGAAAAACATCCCAGTTGAGGTGTTCCAGTGAAATATTCTTGCTTAATCTTTGAGATGAGTTGGCAGGGAATGGGTTGATGTTGTGTGTGTGTTGGATGGGGACATGGAGTTACTAAACGGTCTATGGTAGTTACTTCCAAATAGGCGCTTCCACAGTGAGCAGGTACCCGATGTAAGGCATTTGTCATTTTTTTTTCAATTTCACATTATTGAACCTGTATGTTTACATTCTCTGTAGCAAATAAATTTTTTTCACAAAGAAAAATATTGCTTTGTTGTGATTGTGTTTTAAACAATTATATGCTTGCTTTTATGCCATTTAAAAAAAATGTTGTTGTAGATATAAAATATCAATGCTAGAGAACAGTCTCAAATATCTGCCGAAACAGATTCCATAAGGCATAAATGGCGGTGAATGGTTCACTGAAATTCACTGATGACAGGGGAGGTCGGATAGCCTAGTGGTTAAAGCGTAGGCTCGTCACACCGAAGATCCGGGTTCGGATCCTGACATGGGTACAATGTGTGAGGCCCGTTTCTGGTGTCCCCTGCCGTGATATTGCTGGAATATTGCTAAAAGCGGCGTA